TTCACTTTTTGGACCCACTTTTCTGCGGACCCTGTGAATTACTCAGTTGTTGTTCTTATGGTCAGTGATCTCTTCAACCTTCAATATTCACGATTCAATCACTGCATTTCATTAAAAATTGCAATTCACATAAAAATGGCGTATTTTCGATGGACTGCTATATATTGTCACTTTTTCTAGAAAAACTCGAATAACTTAAAAACTGTTCATTTTTGGTATAGGGTAAGTGAATTTGAATCAGAATTAGAAGACAGAAATTCAAAAATGTTCTCGAAAACAGGGTGTCTCATTGAAAATAACAAAGATGACATCATTTCCGCAGAAACCGGAAGCTTCACAATTACGAAAATATTTCAGTTGGATTCAACATGTTTTCTTACAGTTTCTACGAATTTTCAGAATCCTGCTACCTTTAGTTCTCCATAGATATATCGCGTTAACTCTTGAAGATATACCCTGTATATTTTATAGCTTCCCAGAACAATCTGATTAATCTATTATTAGATGCGTATCTCTGTAGTTAATTATTCCTCCTCCTGTTTCAAAGCGTTCGAAATATAATTATTTTTTTGAGAGGCAGTGCCAGGATTTGTATCTAGGAAAGTTTGAAAATTGAGTTACATTAAATTACATACAATCAACTCATCATTATAAATTTGATCTCAAAATGTCCTTTTTTAATCCACCTATTCCATTGGATTTTGATACTAAGGATGTTGTCCCAACATCAACCATCTACCAAAAATGTTTACAATTGGATTTAAATCTGTACTTTTTGAATAATAGAGATAATAAACTGGATAATCAAAATAAAAAAAATGAGAAGAGATGGAGCTGCAGTTTTATTCTTATTACTTAATGCTACTGATTTTAACAGGGTTGTGACATTGAAGTTCAGGAAGGGATAATAAACTGTTTTAAACATTGGGGTCGAATGAGAGGTAAAAAAAAATTGAATATTGAATAATGAATTGGAGATGATGCAATTATTTAATGTCAAAATATAGAAATTCCTATTATATCTAATTTTTTTCCAAGAAATAGAATTTATTATCAGTAGGTAACAATTGTTTTGATCATTTTGACCTTGATTTTACGAGGAAATAGGAATGCATACTGCATGTAGACATCAAGATGAGTTCTCTGAAAAGTCTTGTTCATTGATATTGAATAACATTCACAATCAATATTGTTAGTTACATAACTTGTGTATTAACTACTATAGGGAACAACGAGAATAATCCTTTATGGAAATGCGTGATTCAGAAATCAGAGGTAGGAACAGAGAGTTCCTTGACATTTGGTTAATTTATTTTGTTCCAATATGCAAAAAAGTGTATGACCTGTTATAACTTAAGAAAACTTTCGAAATCAAAATCTCATCATATACATATTTGCTTCGCAACGAAATCATTTCCATTTGAATTTCATGGAAATAAAACGAAAATGAAAATTAAGAGAATGACAAAAAGACAGAATTTCATATAGTAGTTATGATATGGTGATATAGTTGATGTGAAGAATAAAATTTGTATGATGGCTAAAACAATTATTGTTATTATATGTACTACAGCCAATCTGTCGTTTCCTCGTACAGTAATAGGTTTGACTATCAACATCATTATTTAAATCATAACACCCCGTATATTTCCTAAAATTCGGTTTCTACCGAAAATTCTAGTATGAATTACAGCCTATCTTTATCTCACACAGCTTTCATGGTTTTTTGTAGTAAAATTTCGAGAAATGCTCGATACTAGAAAAAAATCATTATTTTTCATCCAATGTGACTGAGTTTTCATCAGAAAAATAAGTTTCAGGCCACACAGCATTGTAAACGTAGATCAAAATGTAATGGTTCCAATTTACATCTTGCGTGAGTCTCGGTCTGTTGATTTTCTCTTATTACAGTTGTCCTTGAAGTATACAAACTATCATATCTCATGACACATACCAAAAACCGCAAGTAAATCGGTCAATTGTTAATGAAAATACGACAAGATTGTCCTAAAAAAAAACAAATTTTGAGTGCGGTGCACTATTTTACGACGCGTCTGAACTACCATCCTAATCCATCTGTGACGGGGAAGAAGTTTGGAATATCATCTCTGTTGACAGGTTATAAAATGTCACTTTTCATACATCCATTCTCCAAAACTATTTATTTTGATATCGTGAGGAACTAATTGAGCCATCACTAAATTCACGAAAAACCTATATACTTTGACCACATACTTGAATATTACCCTGTATTGAGGTTTATTTTTCCTCATAATCCTGATCCCACTCCTGCACATTTGGTATTTGGTTGAGCAACGCTTTCATACTCTGTATAGGGGTCAGTATCCTCATCTTTTATTGGTAAATTAGGTCATAGTTCGTAAACTCAGTGACTCACTAGAATGTTTTTGTGTTGATAGTATGACGATGAGTCTACAGCCTGTTTAGATAAAAGTGTGGTTATTAGTTGAATCATTTTACTGATTATGTACATTTTTCAATTACTCAAAAATGTAGACCTTTTACTAATGATGAGAATTTGCGAATTTATAGAAACAACGGAACTATTCCGAAGAAAACAATTGTCTAAAATCAGTTGATAACTTACATGATATGGGGATATCCCGTTCATGTATTTTTTTTTAATAAAAACGCCATTTTAGAACAAATTCATGAAACATTGCTTTAAATAACCCACTAAATAATTGTATCAAATCCACTAGTAAGCCCTGATTGCTGAGAGATACTGAAAACTTAAAAAAATCAAACCAAAATTGTCAAAACATCAGGGAAATAAATAATGCAAATAACATAATCATACTTATCATTTGGAACTATTTTGATTAGGTTTTTGTTTCGAAACCCAGTTAAATAGTTACGCAAGAAATTTTCAATGTACATTTACTAAAGTATCCACTCTGTATAGGGGTCAGTATCCTCATCTTAACAGGAGTTTATTGGTAAATTAGGTCATAGTTCGTAAACTCAGTGACTCACTAGAATGTTTTTGTGTTGATAGTATGACGATGAGTCTACAGCCTGTTTAGATAAAAGTGTGGTTATTAGTTGAATCATTTTAATGATTATGTACATTCTTCAATTACTCAAAAATGTAGACCTTTTACTAATGATGAGAATTTGCGAATTTATAGAAACAACGGAACTATTCGGAAGAAAACCAGTTCATAACTTACATGAAATGGAGATATCCCGTTCATAACTTTTTTTTAAATAAAAACGTAATTTCAGAACAAAATCATGAAACATTGCTTTAAATAACCCATTAAATAAATGTATTTAAACCACCAGGAGACCTGATAGCTGAGAGAAACTGAAAACTTGAAAAAAAATCAAACCAACATTACTCGTTTGATAAGGTTTTTGTTTTGGAACCCAGTAAAATAGTTACGCAAGAAACTTTTAATGTACATTTACTAAAAAAAACACGCTAATTCTACGCCCATGGATTGATGAATATCATAATTCTTGTATATTTTCTCATGAAACTCTATTGTATTGTATCCATAAGGGGTGAATACACTGCTACCACAAGATCTTTTGTAATATCCGATGAGGTTGTTCTCCGTAGCTATAGCAATTTTTCTAGTCCTATATCACTAAGGAATTTCAGGATATGAGGTTGTTCCAGGTAGAGTAGCTCCCTCCTCTATTATGGATTCTGACCCTCTTTCCTAGTGAGTTTGTCCGTTATCTCATTTCCTCCTACTCCAGAATGTTCCGGAACCCATAGAAGGATGACTGTATTTCTGTTGGCTAGCTCGTTCAGTTTTTCCCCGGCATTCCCAAACCATTTTAGAGCTATCGAACATGATATTGACAGATGATATACCGTTTCTCATAGCTGTTTCAGAAATTGAACTGTATACATTTTCCTACAGCGTGTACTTGAGTATATGCTTGGAAGTTTGTCAATTTGTGTACAACTTTGTGTCTCCTTCTTTGAGCTCAATACCCACGTATACATTGATCAATTATTTTTTGCAGCTCAGCCTTGCCGTGAATTGTTTCACAAAGCTGAGTACTTTTTCTTTATCTCATCCTCAGGATAATCCTGGATTTGCTAGTCGGACACTCTATAATCATTCTCTCTGTCGCATTATCCACAACTAATGTAAAGTACTCCAACACTAATAACGTGCCAAGTTCTAGCAGAATCGCGTTATCTATACTAATATTTTAAGATGAAAGATTTATTTGTTTGTATTGAATATATATTCTTTTACCGTTGGAAGCCGACATGATCCCTGATGAACATAGGCTTTTTACCGCGGGAAAATTCTTTATTCCTACGGGAAAACGGGTAATAGGACAACCACACAACGGGTAGTCTCTCTATATATACAGAGTGATCCATGGTGGATGGCCTATTAGAAGTACTAGCAACTTTGTTATTTCAAATGGAACACCCTGTATTTTATTGCATTTTTAGATTTTTCCTGAAGAGTTGATTTCATCAATGCATCACACTTGGGGTCTAGCAGGAATGATTACAGAGATAGAGGGTGTTCAAAATCGAGATTTTTCAATTTTAGTATTTTTTTTTGTGTCGAAACTATTCATTATCGTTCAAAACGGATTACATGTCCCTATCTTAACTTTTGATTCACTATCTACTGGAATTTGATTGAAAAAGATACAGGGTGCTTCAAGATTCAGAATTCTGATCTGAATGTTCAATTATCAAAGCATCCCAATGTTCAGAATGTTCTGTCTATTCGTTCTCCAGATACTACTAATAGGCCATCCACCGTGGATCACCCTGTATATAAATGAATCCCTATTTCCATTGGTCACGCCATCACGCGTAAACGGCTGGACCGATGAATAAGTGGTTGATGTTAAATATGATGAAAAATAATATTTTTGTTAACGGTTATCAAATTTCCGAAATCATAAAAAATCTCAATATCCAGAAATCATGAAAAAAATAGTGACGTTTCACATTAGTTATGGTCTGTATATGATTGTTTTTGTTTCAGGTGGGCCAAATTACGGGTGGCAATGTTGCCAACTGTAATCTTATTCGAACCACTATCCGAATGCATGGTGATAGGCGGATGTGCAGCTTGGGCGGCTAGTTTACTGTTCCATTGGGAACCCTTAGTTTTTTATTTAGTCCATATTTTAGCATGGTTTCTATGTGATTGGATCTTATTGTCCACAGTACAAGTAAGTATCTCATAAATCATATTTTCTATCACTATCTCTAGAACATATCATTCTGTGAGATATCCTAGACCTGAGAAATTAAAAATTCCACAACGTCAAAGTCTTTTCGGGACGAACGTGATTCTGATCTTGTGTGTTAGCATCATTAAGGCAAGAATACAATTCAAATGTGCATATAACTGCAATGTAGTTGTGACTTGAGATGAATGCATCAATTTTTTGATAACATATGCTATAATACTTGGAATGAAAATCCTTTGGAATCACAATTTCATGGAACGTTCAAACATAGCTTTCGGCGGCAAACTAGTGTATCTTGTACTGACGTCATAACCCATTTTCCTGTGTTGCCAGCTGTTTTATTTTGAGGAAGGTACCTAATTATTTCTCCGAATCAATCCAACTGTGAACTGATATCTCCATAAGATGTTGGGCGCAACGATAGCAACAGCGGCGACTATGCAGACAAGTACTCAAGTTGTTTCTCATTGGTCAGCAGCAGTGTTAAAATTATTAATTTCAACACACACAATCAGAATCACGTTTGTTCCGAAAAAATTTGCCATTGTGGAATGTTCAATTACTGAAATAGCGTTAGAGAATGAATATTATATACACCTTGGCAGTAAAAAATATAATTAACACGGGACTTTATGTTCTTCGGATGCAACCTCGGGATGTAATCTTGGTTCCTACAAATCCTTGCTAATAATGGTATTCTTTACTACTTTGGTGTGGTGTATAATAACTAGTCTGTTTGGCGTCTTTAAAAATGCGTATCGAAAAGGATGTATTATCATAACAAAATGGTAATTTTTTTGTGATGGGTATCATTAAACTGCCTAAAATTGTTCTGAAATTTCGAATTGACTCGGCCGTTACTTGATGGAAATCCATAGCAAATGTAAAAACTTCCCAAACGAAGAGATTTCCACAACATTCTCAATCACACGACATGTTTCGCTAACACAGCAGCTTCTTCAGGTGAAATTCTGGTACAACAAAAAACAAAGAAAACAAAATTCATTGTACCAGTATTTCACCTGATGAAGCTACTTTGTTAACGAAACATGTCGTGTGATTAAGAATTTTGTGTAAATCTCATCGTTTGTGAAGTTTTTAGATGTTCCGTCATCCGGTTGCCCCCTTACGAGCAACGCTCTTCAAGAAACTTGTGCGAGCAAGGAATGACGGGGCTTTTACCTTTTAACGTGTGATCCCAAACACTTTCCTAGGCCATCAGGGAAATTTCTACAGTCGTGGGAATCGAACCCACGAACCGGCAATCCAACGTGAATAGAATACTGACGCTTCTATCATTCTGTTGATACTCTTATGTCACTTCTCTAACATTACGTTTGGAATAAAGTAATAATGTGATACTAGACAAAACTATTGTAGATTTCAAAATATTACTATTTGTGCAACTTTTATCGATGAAATATTGCCAATTAGAGAAATCAGCGTTAGCCGTAAAGCTGGAGTTGGTTAGCTCCAGTTATTCCATGAAGACCGAAGACCTAGATCTATTTTTCACAAATATGTCCTATTTCGGATGACACTCGCAAATGATGATATCATTTAACTGACACAATCATGACATCATACAAAAAAATTATTTGTAGACCTTGCCCGCTTGAATGTTGAAAATGATCTGTCCGAGACATTTTTCTTCGCATCCTGTGCTCACTGTATGATAATATGCCATATTCAATATACAGGGTGATTCAGGTTTTAGAGCACAAACTGAAATGGAAGGTAGATCTCATCATTTCAATCAGAAAAGTTCATATATACATCAGTTCAATCTCGTTCAGTAGCGGAACTACAGGGGGTCAAAGTATAATTTTTTTTTATTAATTGAAATATCTCGCTTACTTTTCAAGAAATCATTCTAAAATTGGGTGTGGTCGATACTTTTTAGAATATCATCATTTCAAGCCATTTTAGGATTTCCAAAATCTACAGGGTGATACGTTTTTGGAGGTAGAGGCTTCTTTATCCCCCCAAACTTTTTCGTAGTACGCCTCTGGCATCTTCTTGTGATCAAATTGTGTGGATCGTTCAATTTAGAGGCTTTATTGTCCTTCAATTTTTTTCCAGAAACGATCTGTTTTTGAGATAATTGAGCATATACGTTCTGAAACATGTTAATTTTGCCTATGTTGCGCTCAAATTTCATTTAACTGAAAAAAAAACCTCGACTTTCTACCCTCCGTATTCCCGTAACTGATCCAGATTGGACTAGTGATTGCAATTTTAGTGAGTACATTTCATTGCATTCTCAACGAATTTTGTTAAAAAATAAAATCTATGCGAAACATAGGCAAAATTAACATGTCTTAGAACGTATATGCTCATTTATCTCAAAAACGGTTCGTTTTCTCGAAAAGAATTAGGAAGCAAAGAAGCCTCTGAATTGAACGATCCACACAATTTGATCAGTAAAAGATGCCAGAGGCGTACGACGAAAAAGTTTGGGGGGAATAAAGAAGTCTCTACCCACAAGAACCTATCACCCTGTAGATTTTGAGAATCTTTAAATAGCTTGAAATGATGATCTTCTAGAAAGTATTGACTACATCAAATTTCAAAATGAAATCTCAAGAAGTAAGCGAGATATTTCAATTGATAGAACAAAATTATTGAACTTTGACCCCCTGTAGCTCCGCTTCTGGACGAGATCGGACTGATGTTTATATGAACTTATCCGATTGAAATGATGAGATCTTGTGCCCCAAAACCTGAATCACCCTGTATATGACATACTCCGAGCTAAACTGAGTATATTGATGGATGTTTTTTTTTCAGAATGGTCCCTTACCCTTCAAGCGATTCGACTTCATCATAGGCTGGTTGTTTCGGGAATGTTCTGGACCATATCTCTTTCTCCTCGCTGTAGTTCATCCTGAAATTAGATGGCGTAATCGTATTTTTAGGTTAACATGGGGCGGAATTGCCCAAGAAGTCAAGCCAAGGATCAAGTGTTAATTTTATTTATGTTTTGTGTCATGCACGTGTATCCATAAGAAATGTACTATCTTTGTAATCGTACATTTTCGTTTTCATTTCTTTTTACTAGCTATATTCATCAGTTTGAGAAAACATCACTTGATTATAACTAAATTATTTTTGTGCCACCTTATTTATAAGAAAGATATTTTTGTTTGTTTTATTTAATAAAAATTGTTTTGTAAACGATGTTTTATTTCGAAGTTAACATAAACCAATTCATATTCGCTGGTGGGTTTAACATTGTCAAATGTTAAGTCCTATTGTGATGAACAAACTTGATTTTGTCCCCTTATTCTTGTTCGCTTTTCGATAGCCAACAATATCTTTTCACATTTCTGCTCTCTTGATATCCAAATCTAGATTTTACATTTTCGATAGACAATTTAACTCAATACTGTTCCTCATTTCTGCACTCCTGATACTCGAATCTGGATTTTTGCCTGCTTGAAACCCGGATTTGCATTTTCGATAGACAACTCAATACCTTTGCTCATTTCTGCTCTCCTAATACATGAATTTAGAATTTTACCTGCTCGAAATCTGATTTTACATTTTCGATAAACGATTCTATACCTTTTTTCATTTCTGCTCTCCTGATACATGAATCTCTATTTTTGCCTGTTCGAAAACTGGATTTGTATTTTCGATAGACAACTAGTTCGATACTTCTGCTCATATTTCTGCTCTCCTGAGACACAAATCTTGATTTTTGCATGTTTGAAACCCGTATTTGCATTCACGATGAACAACTCAATACCTCTGCTCATTTCTGCTCTCCTAATACATGAATTTAGAATTTTACCTGGTCGAAATCTGATTTTACATTTTCAGTAGACGATTCTATACCTCTTTTCATTCCTGCTCTCCTGATACACGAATTTTGATTTTCGCCTGCTTGCGACCCGTATTTGCATTTTCGATGAACAACTCAATACCTCTGCTGATTTCTGCTCTCCCGATACATGAATTTAGAATTTGGCCAGCTCGAAATCTGATTTTACATTTCCGATAGACGATCCTATACGTCATACATAAATCTCGATTTTCGCCTGTTCGAAACCTGGATTCGTATTTTCGATTGACAACTAGTTCGATACCTCTGCTCATATTTCTGCTCTCCTGATACACGAATTTTGATTGTTGCCTGCTCGAAATCGGATTTCACATTTTTGATAGACGATTCTATACCTCTCATCATTTCTGCGCTCCTGATACACGAATTTCGATTTTTGCCTGTTTGAGACCCGGATTTGCATTTTCGATCGATAGACACCTCGATAACTCTGCTCATCATCTTTCTGCTCTCCTTATACATGAATTACAATTTTTGCCTGTTTGAAATCGGATTTTGCATTTTTGATAGACGATTCTATACCTCTCATCATTTTCTGCGCTCCTGATACATGAATTTCGATTGTTGCCTGCTCGAAATCGGATTTTACATTTTTGATAGACGATTCTATACCTCTCATCATTTCTGCGCTCCTGATACATGAATTTCGATTGTTGCCTGCTCGAAATCGGATTTTACATTTTTGATAGACGATTCTATACCTCTCATCATTTCTGCGCTCCTGATACATGAATTTCGATTGTTGCCTGCTCGAAATCGGATTTTACATTTTTGATAGACGATTCTATACCTCTCATCATTTCTGCGCTCCTGATACATGAATTTCGATTGTTGCCTGCTCGAAATCGGATTTTACATTTTTGATAGACGATTCTATACCTCTCATCATTTCTGCGCTCCTGATACATGAATTTCGATTGTTGCCTGCTCGAAATCGGATTTTACATTTTTGATAGACGATTCTATACCTCTCATCATTTCTGCGCTCCTGATACATGAATTTCGATTGTTGCCTGCTCGAAATCGGATTTTACATTTTTGATAGACGATTCTATACCTCTCATCATTTCTGCGCTCCTGATACATGAATTTCGATTGTTGCCTGCTCGAAATCGGATTTTACATTTTTGATAGACGATTCTATACCTCTCATCATTTCTGCGCTCCTGATACACGAATTTCGATTGTTGCCTGCTCGAAATTGGATTTTACATTTTTGATAGACGATTCTATACCTCTCATCATTTCTGCGCTCCTGATACATGAATTTCGATTGTTGCCTGCTCGATATCGGATTTTACATTTTTGATAGACGATTCTATACCTCTCATCATTTCTGCGCTCCTGATACATGAATTTCGATTGTTGCCTGCTCGAAATCGGATTTTACATTTTTGATAGACGATTCTATACCTCTCATCATTTCTGCGCTCCTGATACATGAATTTCGATTGTTGCCTGCTCGAAATCGGATTTTACATTTTTGATAGACGATTCTATACCTCTCATCATTTCTCCGCTCCTGATACATGAATTTCGATTGTTGCCTGCTCGAAATCGGATTTTACATTTTTGATAGACGATTCTATACCTCTCATCATTTCTGCGGTCCTGATACATGAATTTCGATTGTTGTCTGCTCGAAATCGGATTTTACATTTTTGATAGACGATTCTATACCTCTCATCATTTCTGCGCTCCTGATACATGAATTTCGATTGTTGCCTGCTCGAAATCGGATTTTACATTTTTGATAGACGATTCTATACCTCTCATCATTTCTGCGCTCCTGATACATGAATTTCGATTGTTGCCTGCTCGAAATCGGATTTTACATTTTTGATAGACGATTCTATACCTCTCATCATTTCTGCGCTCCTGATACATGAATTTCGATTGTTGCCTGCTCGAAATCGGATTTTACATTTTTGATAGACGATTCTATACCTCTCATCATTTCTGCGCTCCTGATACACGAATTTCGATTGTTGCCTGCTCGAAATCGGATTTTACATTTTTGATAGACGATTCTATACCTCTCATCATTTCTGCGCTCCTGATACATGAATTTCGATTGTTGCCTGCTCGAAATCGGATTTTACATTTTTGATAGACGATTCTATACCTCTCATCATTTCTGCGCTCCTGATACATGAATTTCGATTGTTGCCTGCTCGAAATCGGATTTTACATTTTTGATAGACGATTCTATACCTCTCATCATTTCTGCGCTCCTGATACATGAATTTCGATTGTTGCCTGCTCGAAATCGGATTTTACATTTTTGATAGACGATTCTATACCTCTCATCATTTCTGCGCTCCTGATACATGAATTTCGATTGTTGCCTGCTCGAAATCGGATTTTACATTTTTGATAGACGATTCTATAGCTCTCATCATTTCTGCGCTCCTGATACATGAATTTCGATTGTTGCCTGCTCGAAATCGGATTTTACATTTTTGATAGACGATTCTATACCTCTCATCATTTCTGCGCTCCTGATACATGAATTTCGATTGTTGTCTGCTCGAAAGCGGATTTTACATTTTTGATAGACGATTCTATACCTCTCATCATTTCTGCGCTCCTGATACACGAATTTCGATTGTTGCCTGCTCGAAATCGGATTTTACATTTTTGATAGACGATTCTATACCTCTCATCATTTCTGCGCTCCTGATACACGAATTTCGATTGTTGCCTGCTCGAAATCGGATTTTACATTTTTGATAGACGATTCTATACCTCTCATCATTTCTGCGCTCCTGATACACGAATTTCGATTGTTGCCTGCTCGAAATCGGATTTTACATTTTTGATAGACGATTCTATACCTCTCATCATTTCTGCGCTCCTGATACATGAATTTCGATTGTTGCCTGCTCGAAATCGGATTTTACATTTTTGATAGACGATTCTATACCTCTCATCATTTCTGCGCTCCTGATACATGAATTTCGATTGTTGCCTGCTCGAAATCGGATTTCACATTTTTGATAGACGATTCTATACCTCTCATCATTTCTGCGCTACTGATTATATATGCCTCCTTCCATTTCTGCTTCCCTGATACTCGGATCTCGACTTTTGCCTGCTTGAAACCCGGATTTGCAATTTCGATTAACAATACACAATACCTCTGCTAATTTCTGCTCTCTCGATACACCAATTCAGAATTTTGCCAGCTCGAAATCGGATTTTGCATTTTTGATAGACGATTCTATACCTCTTTTCATTTCTGCTCTCCTCCTGATACATGAACTTCGATTTTTGCCTGCTTGAAACCCGAAATTGCATTTTCGATGAACAACTCAATACCTCTGCTCATTTCTGCTCTCCCGATACATGAATTCAGAATTTTGCCAGCTCGAAATCCGATTTTACATTTTCGATAAACGATTCTATACCTTTTTTCATTTCTGCTCTCCTGATACACGAATCTCGATTTTTGTCTGTTCGAAAACTGGAATTGCATTCACGATGAACAACTCAATACCTCTGCTCATTTCTGCTCTCCCAATACATGAATTTAGAAGTTCACCTGCTCGAAATCTAATTTTAGATTTTCGATAGACGATACTATACCTCTTTTCATTTCTGCTCTCTTGATACACGAATTTAGATTTTTGCCGTTTTGGAACAAGGATTTGCATTTTCGATCGACAATTGAATAGGTACCGTTTCTTATTTTATCAATTTGAAATCGGATTGCATTTTCGGACAGACAACTCAATATCCTTTCTTATGCTCTCCTGATACCTATACATAAACCTAGATTTTTGCCTATAATCGGACTTTGCATTCTCGATAGACAATTGAATGTATATCGTTTCTCATTTCTGCTCTCCTGATAAACTAATCTAGATTTTTGCCATAGTGAAATAGGATTTGCATTATCGATAAATACAATACCGTTTCTCATTTCTGCTCTCCTGATACTGAATTCGATCGTATTTGAAACAGCGCAAATTGCGAAGTTGTAGGAGAATGATAATGACCCTTCCTCTTTTTCAGTTTCTTCAGAAGTCATAATATAGTATTGATCTTGTTGATAATACCGTTAAAAAGGAGATCATAACATTATTTTCATTTGGAAGAAGGAATGCAAAATCAAGGACATTTTATACAGAACAACATTTATTCTACAGGTTACAAGGTGTATACACGTCTAAGTTAAAATACAATTGAACCAGTTTTAGTCTAGAAAATCATAAAACCAATATCTATGATACTCTGATTCAGCTACTAGGAATCGCCACAGATGTTTCTCGCTATGGGCTTCGCAAAATTTCGAACCAGTCTCGCTTCAGTTTCGATCCATTTGTACCTGTAACAAAATTTGAGAATAACCATTTCAAATGAAACAAATGTCTATCGCAAGTAATTCAATTAGTAGCATGCTGAAGTGCTTCTTGTTGTGATAAACAAGACAACACACGATATTTCTTCTTTCTTCATAGTTAGAACCAGAGATAAGTTAAGTGGGTAACTTATCTCTGGTTAGAACCTTTAGCTCAGTGGTCTGTGAATCTGACTTCCACGGAAGGAAAGGAAAATAAATTTATTCATTGTACCAGTATTTCACCTGATGAAGCTACTGTGTTAGCGAAACATGTCGTGTGATTAATAATTTTGTGGAAATCTCATCGTTTGTGAAGTTTTTACATCTGAGATGAATATATAGATGTTAATATTCTATAGCAGAATTATATTCAGTAATATACAACACTTCAGTTGAACTTTGAAAGGTTTCTATTCAAGACTCCAGATTCGAATTACTGGAAAGTTCTCTACAACACTTTTACAACGACTGTCAACTGTCTATCTTGTAACGTCTCTACTTCTTTTTCTTGGTGACAGGCGTATATTATCAAAGTTACTTCAACCACAAAGTAAAACTTAACCTATCTATAATTGTTATCTTCTACAATAGACACAACGATAATAGATTAAAGTACAACCTTCTCGTGTTTCAAAAGTGTTTTCCTTCAATTCAAGAGTGGGCTAGCCTCACTTGTCCTCCGGACCCTCTTACCCCCCACTTGCTACGCCCTGGCTTATCTTCACTTGAAAAACATACCAAGTTTTGGGGAAATTACCTTGCTGCCATTTTCTTATCTATGGCCATAAAATATGTACAACATGATTGGTACATAATTAGTGCTGTCGTACCTACTAATATTGATCTTATATGCAATCACTTGTACAAGGGACTTTCCGTATTTTTTATATATCTCAGCTAATCGCGGTTGCCCCTTGTTTACACTGGACATATTGACCTGATGAACTTCAAAGAGTGGTACCATAGTGATAATTATTGTTACATATAAATAAGTGAACAAAAGCAAGTTCATGGATTAATCAAGTTTAATTTTCGATTCCATAGTTTTAGAGGTGCTATTGACTTTCATCAAGTTCAATAACGCGCACAATAATGTTGGGAAGTATCGATAATATCATATTTCTAGTGTCGCTAAGTGGTTTTATTCATTTCACGGAAGGTACGTAAATATGAGCTCAGGAATTCTCGTCACATTTCTCAGACCTTCATAAAGCATTCTGAATGATGTGTAGGCGGTGTGATCAACTCCATACGCCACCTTGTGAGCAATCGGTACAATCGATTGGAACCTCGATTGGAACGCAACAGTGAAGTGTTTATGACAATCCCAATCCGATGCCACGAATTTCAATGATAATTGATCTTCTAATTGAATATTAGATAAATCTCGCCACGGATGGAATTTGAACCTGACCTTTCGGTCATGAGTCAGATTTGTTCTCCTCTATTCAACCATGTCTCATAAGGCGGCACTGACTCTCAATTGAACGAGTTCACATTACTTCACACTAATTATGATTCGATTCTATCTAATTAAAATCTGTATCTGGGGGTTTTCGGGGTCGGAGATTATGATTCTTTCGTCTAAATTTGGAAATTCAAGATGGCGGATCCAATATGACAGACGAGCTTTCTAATTATGATTCTATTTAAAATTGGTATCTGGGGTTTTTCGGAGTTGAAAATTATGATTCTTTCGTCAAAAATTGAGAAATTCAATATGACGGATTCAATATGGCGAACGTGCTTTGTGATTATGATCCGATTCTATTCAAAATTGGTTTCTGGGGATTTTAGGAGACATAAATTATGATTCTTTCGTCAAAAATGAGAAATTTAAGATGGCGGATCCGATAAATATGATCCGATTCTATTCAAAACTTGTATCTGGGGGTTTTCGGGGTCGGAGATTACGATTCATCCGTCATAATTAGAAAATTCAAGATGGCGGATTCAATATGTCGAGGAAGCTTCGTTAAATAGTGTTTTAAAAAACTTATGAAACACGCTTTTATAGATAGCCAAAGTAAACAAAAAGTAAAAAGAGAATAGTTGTTTAAAAAAGCGATTGATTACCGAACTGAAAAGAAATAGAAATTAAAGAGTAGTTCGAAAAACTAAGAAAACACGCTGTTGTGGTAACTCATACTAAAAAGAAGTAGAGAATAAAATAATGAAAGTGTGTGGTTGAATATTCAACTTAAGAAAAGAATTCTAGAAATAATGTATATAGCAAATCAACGTTTGCCGGGTCGCGATTTTACTAAATATAAACTATTGCAGCACAAGACACGCCCCCTACTACGGCATTGCAAAATATAATCGAGCCCAGCACAATCCTGCAAAATCTAATCTTTGACAGCACAACGTAGCTGATTCATATAAATAAATCGATTGAAAAAGTAGCACATACCACGTTATATCTCATCTTCAAAGTACTTTACTTAGGCAAAACTCAGAGACTATTTATCCTCAACGAACTAACCTATCCCTGATTGCAATATTTTTGAGGAAGGAAAACCGAATGGAGTGTAGAAACACATTGATTAATAATATATTTCAAAAGTTGAGTTCTTCAACAAAATTGAATAAAATGAGACTGTTTATCCAAAACGCACTAACCTATTTGACTTCAAATATTTTATGAAAAAGGAAAACCAGAATGGAGTAAAAAAACATTGGTGAAAAAAAAAGTTGCAAAAAAAAGTTCGAGTTCACAGCGATTCGAACCATGAACCTTCAGACTGAGAGTCGACAGCGCTAACCAGTAGACCATTTGGGTGTATGAATTTACTGCGTACAAGAGATTGACAACGAGAAAGCTTCAGTTCTTGCGTTGGAGCACAGTATGAGATATGACGTATTATGGTGGGCGTGGTTTGTGCTAGCGTGCAGTATATTTAGGAAAATCGCTGCCGGCGAAGCTAGTTTGAAATAAATAAGGTTCAATTGTGTCTCACAGCCAATATGAAAAGATTTGAACATGCGCTATTTCGTTTTAGCTAGTTGTCCGAACATCATAAGCAGATCTAGTTGGGGTGCTGTGCCAGCGAAAAGTAGACAGAATCTGAGCCAGAATCCCCCACCCTATGTGGTCGTCCACCATTCGGAGACACCTGCATGTCAAACTACTGAAAAATGCAAGCAGCGCATTAAAAACATACAATATGATCATATGACCAACAGAAACTGGCAAGATATTGGCTACAATTTCTTGGTAAATATTTGCGAGTAACTTTCAGGACATACAGATATGTTCACAAAGAAAATTCGATAAAATAAATCATATATGTATTGTGTGTTACAATTCGGGCCCGGTCCCTGTACTTTCGTATTGCTAGGACGATTCGAGATTTTTTTTTCTCATAATATAGTACTCAAAATTATCATTATAAATTATCATTAGCATACCGAGATCACAAAAACTTCAGGAAAATAAAAGAAAACGGATTAGGCATTTTTTCAAATTTTGATTATGGCAATAGATTCGGACTAGCCACATATCAATTTTCGAAACGATATCTCATAAGGAGTGTTTTTTTATCAACGTTACAATTTTTGAATAATTGTATTTTTCAAGTCACCGTGTATAATAATTTTTTTGAGAATTTGAATAACACCAGACATGATGGTAGTCAGGATCAAATAATCTGGCTACAGAGTAAGAAATTCAGGCCAAGAACTAGAGGAGAGTTGCGACGAAGAATAATAATTTACAGAGAGATTCCACCAGAATTATTGAGGAAAGTTGAAAATAACATGCGAGAGATATGAAAAGTGCATGTATGAAGAATTGAAGAGATTTGATAGTGAAAACAAAAATGTGCACTGAGGAATGGTTGCTGTTTTAGTTTTTACTTTTTATCTTGTGATTTTTTGATTGGTATTATTCAATTTCTTCTTCTTCTTCTTCTTCTTACTTCTTGGTAAAAAATTTAAATTTCTAGTGATTCTATTACTTATTTATCTCTCTCTGTAGACAGATTATCAAATCCTGACTACCATCATGCCCGGTATCATTCAAATTCCTTTAAGATTATACACGGTGACTTGAAAAATGCAATTATGCCAAAATTTTAACGTTGATAAAAAACACGCATTGTTTTGAAAATTGATATAGGAGTATTTGTGACAGTCCGAATCGATTGCCATTATCAAAATTTATCCGTTTTCTTTAATTTTGCTGTGGCTTTTGTGATTGCGTAGGACAAGAAATTGTGTTAGATATTTTTTTTGCTCGACAATTCTGAGTAGTATTGATTATGAAAGAAAACAATTTCAAATCGCCCTAGGAATACGTACGTACAGGGGTGGGGTGGACCAAATTGTAACACACTGTAAATTGTCATAGTTAGTCATAAGTTAGTCTTCAAATCAATTTGAAAAGTATAAACAATTTGAACACAACGTGAAAAGTTCTGCACCACCTCGTATACTACATTTCTCTTTATATTTTCCTCCTGAATCATTCAGGATTTCTGTTCATTCTCCTTCAAGAGCACAAAAGTTTGATAAAATAGAATAAAGGTACCTATACTCACTATTTTGGTTTTGGTTTTGAATAGTTTTGATTACGTTTTTTTTTTCAGATCGGTGGTGATGGCAATATATACGAAGGTAGAGGTTGGGGTACTCATGGATCTCATGTTCCCAAATACAACAGACGAAGCATCGGAATTTGCCTCATTGGAGATTTCACCAGTAAGTATACAACACAAAATCCTAGCAGAAAATTTTCATGAAAATTGTGCTTCCTTTATATTTTGGTATATTTTTTCAACTAGAACTTGAAGTTCTCACAGTGAAATTATCCTAGTAAGTGGTTTTCACGTACTTAATAAACATTGTACCGTTAAAGCTACACTTAATTCGGAAACCCCTGTATAATGAGAAAATTTACTGAATTCAGTGGCATGCATCATGGTTTCACCACGTTTTTCACCCGACGTGTTCTTTTCAGGGAATCCCCCTCCTTCCGTTCAACTGACAGCTCTGAATGATCTCATCAGCTGTGCTTCTGACACCAACAATATCAGATCAGATTACCACCTCATTGGCCACAGGCAGGGAAGAGAGACAGATTGTCCTGGAGACGCTTTGTTTGAAGAGGTGAAAAGAATGCCCCATTGGGAGGCTCATCCCAACTAACTTCGAGAGACTGATATTGAATGTGATAATTCACTCATATTGAAATTGTTAATGAAAATAATAAAATAGACATACTGATATTATTTGCTGACCAAATATAAGAATTGAGTTGTTTGACTGCAGTTATTTTCCAAAATATACAGGGAGTTTCATAGGCGATAGTAATACAAAGATAGAAATAAAAATTATAGTTGACGTTGAAAATATTAATTTCCTTTTTCCATTATCACCCTCTTTAAGCTTTCGTAATGCCTAAATCAAGTGTGGTCGGTCAGTGACAAATCCTCAAAATCTCCAAATTATATACTTCCTATGGCTATCGAATGATCTCAATGGATGTCTTGAATGAACCTATTTAACAAAGAAAATGAAAAAACTCAGTCGGTCGACCACACTTTATGTAACAAAAAAAACAGCAACCGGTTTTGACACAACGGCCATCATGAGACTGCAGTACCTAAAATACATAATCAATGTAGAAATTGAAATTGTCACAGGAAACAAAACTTACAGTAATTTTTTTTTACATAAAGTGTGGACGACCGACTTTGAGTTTGGAAATAACGAAGTTGATTCCCATTTCTCAGCAATATTCATTTGTTTTACCTCGTACAATTTTCCGGGAGGTTCAGAACAAACCCAACAACTTAATCATTTGAAGATTTTTTCTATCTTCGATGATCAGAAGCTGTTCAAATATACGGAATGACCCTGTACAGTACACCCCTACGTTGGATGTGAATGGGCAAGTGGACTAAGTTTTTTAAAATTTCTTAAATGGAATTATCACTCAAATACCTTTCAATTCCATATTTTTTAGAAATTTCTGGTCGATTTTGCGGTGCTAAAATCATCAAGAATGACACGGTAATTTTCAAACGGCTAGAAATTTACCGCAAATAAAAACTGACGTCACGATTTCGTGAGTAGGGGCAGACCATAGCACAGTTGCCATTTATGTTGAAATAGGATTGGGAACTTCTGAAATATAAGTGGTTCAATGATTCATAAATTCTCAATTATGTATTGGTACGTAATATTCCTTATTAGCAATGAAAAATCCATTGTCTCAAAATGTTCCCTCATGTGTTGTGGTTTATTGCTTATAATCAATTTGTGTCAATAATAATTATATTTATTCAGACTAGAGGACATTTGAACAGGTGAACGTGGCAACACGGAACACGAATTGTGGGCGTTGTCTTGTCAGTTCTCAGAAATCAGTACATGTTGCCAAGTCTCCAACATTTTCATGACATTTTGTTATGGAGTATTGGAGTATAAGAAATATTTTGACATGCTGGTTGCTCGAAAAAGTCGAAAATGAACTATATATATCCTATCATGGCTTCCTCCTATCATGTTTTATTTAACGACAGGACTCTAACATCTATTTGATTATGATTGGTGACTTGACAACGTTGCTTTATGAGTTGGAATGGAAGATTATCTGACGAATAACAAAGTAGCATAAACAGTCACGTCACCATTTATTTGACGTATCGCAGAAGATGGTCAAATGGCAGCCATGACGGTACGTTTGAAATGAGCTCTGAAATACAACAATTTCGAACAACGCATAGGCTCATTATTTAGAGCATGAGAGACACAGTGGAGTAATCGAATGTCAATAATTTATTATCAATCCACACGCCCATTCAGGGTTGGAATAAGTCATGACTTTTATAAAAAAGTCATCAAAGTCCGACTTTTTGAATCAAGTCAGACTTTTTTGAATTAATTCATTTGAAAAAAAAAATTCATTTACCCAAAGCGAAATAGAAAAAAAGAAACAAACAAACAAACTATGTTTTTATTCCCTTCAGAAATCTTGTAGAATAACATCATAATATAACATGTCAGTTTCTCAAAACAAAAGTGATGATAGAATACAAAATAATAGATACATATAGATCCAGTATCATCCATAAAGTTCGTAACACATGGAGAAAAAGTTTATTAGTAGAATATCGGGATCTATTATACATGCATGCTTAGATCATAGCAGGCATGTCTGACTACTTGAAAGTCGATTTTGACACATGTCACTTGATCACTGGTATGGCGGTAAATTCAAAAAATTACGATTGCAAAAAGTGGGATTAGATGGGAAGATGAAGTAATTTAAAAAAAATAAAAATAGCTATTTTCAGTTTTCTCAAATAATGGCTGGAAACTCCATAAGTGAGCATGAAATTGAATTCTATTCAACTTGTATATCATCAATATCACTACTGTCGAAAAAAAAAAAAGAGAATTGTAACAAAATTGAAGAATATTCGAAAAAATATAGCTATTTCCAATGCTCCTCCAAAAATTGCTCGAAACTGAATGTGGAATAGCAACTTAATAAGAAATATTGCTTCATTCAGTGATCACGTGACATGTGTCAAAATCGATTTTCAAGTTATCGGATATGCATAATGGATCGCCGAGAGGAAAAAATTCGATGCTGTCTTGCCAAAATACGATCGAATTTTTCAGTTTAAACTAGTTAAAATCAAGGGTGAAAGTGCAATTTGTAATTTGTCTCATTTTTAAAAATTTGAATGAATTCATGACTTTTTCGAAAAAAGTCAATGGAATTAATTCACGAATTAAATCGCTGATTTAATTCATATGAATTAATTCATGCCAACCCTGCGCCCATTCCTGATATATGCCTCTTTTTTAGAGATATGGTGCGCTCCTCGGTGTATAAAAGAGTATTTCTGACGATTTTGAATAAAGGATGATTGTATCAGATAATATTAATATATGAAAAGATCAATATAACATAGGTACCAAGCGAAACCTCATTATTGATGTCAACCCTCCTCATGTGGGAATATAATAAATGAATATAATAACACACAATTATTATTTGTCGCACTGCCGAACGATTTTCCTTCCTCCACCTGACGTATTGCTTATCCGCCTTGACGACCATTTCCATGGTTTTCCTTCCACCAGCCCGAAGATATCATCGATAAGCATGCGCTAATGCGAACTTGAAAAACATACTTCCAGGGAAACCATTCCAAATTCAACCGTGAAATTGACAAAATGACTGGAAACCCAGACGGGCAACGATGAATCAATTCTCCGAGTTGAAATCCCCGCATAGTGAAACTGTGCAAGCTAACTACAACAAACTTTCCGATCACATCCGAAGATTGACCCCCCAAGGTATACAGTGCAGTGTGTTTTGCGGGGGCGCCAATTGCAAATATGAGAATCCCGAGAATTGGAAGCCGGAGAGTCTTGCCCTTCACGGGATCTATTCCCACTGGTACGTATGAACGTTTAGGAGGTTGATAGTGTTGATACTGACACTAGAAGAAATTCCCGGAATTCCTATTTGCTCGCGATGATCCAACAGGTGAGCGATATCACAAGTCCGACAAAGGACTTACTCTCATTTCGACGGTCATCTCACGTAGTGACGTATCTCAGTTTTCTTAATTTTACAGCAGAGCAGTTCAAAGATTTTCAACATCTTAATACGCTTATATCTCAGAGGTTTGTTCGTGAAAGATCATTCTTTTTTCATTCATTAGTGAAAGAACTAGAACTAGTTGTTATATGATATGGTGAGATTTCCAAAAACCATCGCCCGAAGCGAAAAAAAAAGTTTGTTAGATACGTCATTACGTGAGATCATGTTTGTTATTGTGGTCTTAAGATACGCCCATGAATATGAAGTTAAATCAAATGAATAACATTCATTTTTATTGATAAAAACACAAAAATTCATTCGACTTGTACAATACCTTACAATACTCCTTTCGGTACCTTGAGACGTCACCCGAGATATTTTAAATTCCGCCGAAAACCCGATGTGAGATACGTCACTGTTGAAATTTTCAACAAATAATAAAAATATATCTCACGTAATGACGTAAGTCCTATAGTTAGGTCACTTCGTGAGATTTGGAAGTCCAATAATTTCGAGACTAATTTGAGATAGGCTGAGTATTCGATAATTAATCAGACGAAAACCATTGAATATTGAGCTACGCCATACTTTGTGAGAATAGATAGATAGACAAACTGAAAACAAGTTGACAATGAAATAATAAAAGTGTCGTCTGAAGTAGTCCATACTCGCAGTGGAGGAGGATGATCAACGAGAAAAAACTCAAAGTTGTCTCCACAAGTTTACTGGCCAAATGTGCAGTCATAGATTAACGAGTGCAGTTAATTCTGCTGCATTACTTTTGATTGAGACATGTTTTGACCATTCAAATGGTCATCATCAGTCATAGTACTAATAAAGTTGATCTACAAAGAAAAACTGTTCTTACTTAACATTTAGCAAGAACTGATAATGTGAAGTAAAAAATCGAAAAACCGATGACACGAGATTATTATTACTATGGTTAAGTGTTAAATTGATTGAGAATTTAATTATGAAAAATTATAATAGAATTGACGAAACAGACATTTTTCAACTAATTATTCTTGAAAAACAAAATGGCGTACAAGTGTGGTAAAAGGAAGTATGTGAGTACAATCTCCTTATTTTCTGCATCACCTTTATGATCGCCGAATAAATTGCCTAGTTTTGATCAATACTGATATATTATACACTTTCAAAGCCTAAGACTCTGGAAGCTTGTATCAAGTCCTTTTTTATACCTGGGATTGAACGGAATTGTATAATCGTTCCCAAATTGTTTCATTCCATTTGGAAACAACACTTCTTTCAACATTGAATTTTTCTTTGGTCCAAAGAAATGGCACTAATCTATACACGGGAAAATTTAAACTTGTCATGTTTTTGGTTTTTTACCTAATATAGGTACATCTTCTAGAAAACCAATTCATCGAACATCAACTTTCAGACAAGTTGATGTTCGATGACCAATTCTACCACTGCACAATAGTTCATCTATTATTTTTCTGTTTCATTATTTCAAATTCACACACCACCTCAGACACCCTGAACATATGTTTTATGTTCTGGAAATATCAAAGTTAAACATTTTCCTAGACATCATTTTTACCAAAACTCATTAAATTTTAAATCCACTTATCGTGTAGCTCCTATTAACACACTAGAAACTCAAAGTGGGAGAAATAATGCTCAACAGATATAGGTATCGATTGGTAGTTAATTAAAATGACTGAAGGTGGACAGGTAACTGATTGAAGATGGACACATAATTGATTGATGATGAAAAAATAATATGAATACTAATTATTTGTAAACAAATCGATAACAAGGCAGTTGGGGAAATTCAAACATGTCAAATTCTTGAATTCTTTTATTTTTCAACTTCTATGTTTTCAACATTAACGAGAATTTCGAAATATATAAAAGTTTTCTAAATTAAAAAACAAACATATACATATATGCAAAGCACAGTGAAAGCATTTCAGAAGTTCGGTACATGACGCTAAATGGAGCAAAAAACTGAACTTTCTCAAACCAATTTTCGTGAAAAAACTTACTGGCTATTTTTGTTCCTTAATTGAATAAACTTGTTAATAGCTATGTGTATGTAATGTATAATCAATAATCTACTTTGTTTACTTGTCTTATTGGCTGTTTTTAATCTACGAATCATCGGGTATAGTATATGGAGACCATAATATATGTTATCCTTGTGTACTAGTATACAGATCGATTATATTTCACACCATGCATTGGAATTGGTGCTACAAAGTATGTTGAATTAGGAATGAGTTTGTTTTTCAATGCCAAATAATAATCAAGGAAAAAAAACTCATTTGATTCTATCATTAAGTATACACTGTCAGATGTACTTTGAATAAGCTAATGTGAAAACTCCATCAAACTCAGTTTGAAAATGAGGATGGACAAAAATCGGACATTTTGGGCATTGGTAAACAGTTATCTCTAATCAAGATGAACTATTATTTCCAAAATAAATTATCTTCTTAAGGAATGAATATCACTTCGAATTGAAGATTCAATATTGAAACAACAATTTTTGATGTTCCTGCAAGAGTTGAATATTCCCAAGAATATGCTGATTTGAAGCATATTGATGAAGCATGGGGAAAAAAGCAATGCTCAAACCGAAACAATACTGAATACTCCTCTGAGTTTCGAATTTTTTCGAATTTTCAATCAAAGTCACACTATTTCGAAAACATCTGTAGAATAGAATTGGAATCGCTTCTCGAGTTATAACCCTATCTAGACCTCAAGTGGGACACACTGTATATAAATAGGTATACCTCGTCATTCATTTGCATCCATAATAAAAAAGTATAAACATTTCCTTGCTTAAAATAGATTCAGATGGTCAAAATAAAAAATGGTACATGAAAATAGTTTGTAGGAAATATTTATAGCAGTAAGGGTTGTAATTCAATTTGAATAATGCTAATAGAAAATGTATTTTTTCTTCTATTTGCATAAATATTTGTGAATGGAGAATTCGCATTGACATTTTTATTCACATCTATTGTTTAACCACTAAAAACTACAGAAATCATGATCCTCAAAGAATTGTCTCTGGTAGACAACCAATAATTAAATGAGAAAATTGCTTACCATCCTTGAATTTGGACTGTACTATACATTTCAGAGGGTCATGTTATACAGTGTGGAGACTTTATAACTGGAATAAATTCGTTAGCGGGGAGGTGAATATTTTTTTTGAAAATTCTTGACATACGTCAACGATTTAACGTATTTACCTAGCTTTTGCAAGCAATATCAAGAATATATCCCTAGCTGAAACCACCCTCAACATGATTTTTTCAAATGTAACCCTATGGCTTTTGACTCCTCATTGGAAAGCTGATGGAAAGAGGAATCCAGCATACTAGTCAAATTTTAGTTTTTAATAAGTTTGAAGATTGCATAAAATTGGAATGTAATTTTAAAATCCATTTTTTTTTTCATCCTATCAAGTCTCTGACTTTCGAGGGTTGCTTTGCAACTAAGCTGGCGGTTAAAAACACACACACACACACACACACACACTCGAAATGTGTGTTGAACAATTTATGGCGATTTTTTGTCACTACTGATTTCTGCTCTTGTATTCCAGTGTTTTTATATATACAGTGTGTCCACCTTAAGGACTTACCACCCCTGTAAAATTGTTATTATCTGACCGATTTCAAGAAACTTTTTTTTGTTGGATAGGTATTTGAAATGTCCATCCAACAAGAGAGTGATTTTACTCATGAACTGTAATCCTGGCCAACTGCGGCTAACTTTATTGACCCATATTTGAGAAAGTACTATAAGGGATTTTTTTTTCACAAAAAACAATGATGGATTCTGAATCACGATCACTTGAAAAACACCGTTACTGATTTTTATCATCATAAAACACAGGGTGTCCGAAAAAAGGAATTATGTTTTTTTCAATAGGTGATCTGGAAATGTAGAATTGTGGTATTTTGAGAAGAATTGATGACACAGTATTATTAAGGATCACTTTGAACATATCTGTACCGATTTTCATCATTCAAAAATACGATGTGTATGAGAAAACAATTAAAAAGAAAAAGTAGGCAATATTTTTTCATCAACTCATAAAAATATTAATTTGATTTTTCGAACACCCTGTGTTTAATGATGATGAAAATCGGTACAGGTATGTTCCAAGTGATCCTGATTCTTTTTTTTATTTTGAGTGAAGAATTATCAGGATGAAAAATATTGCTTACCTATCCTTTTTAATTTTTTTCTCAGACACATTGTATATTCGAATGACGAAAATTGGTACAGGTATATTTGAAATAATCCTCAATGATACTATGTGATTATTTCTTTCTAGAAAAACCACAGAACTACATTTGCTGATCACCTATTTGAAGAAAATGATGATTCATTTTTTCGGACACCCTGTGTTTTATGATGATAAAAAAGCGGTACAGGTATATTTCAAGTGGTACTGATTCAGAATCCATCATCAAGTTTCGTGGAAAAAAATCCCTAATAGTACTTTCTGGAATATGGGTCATTGAAATTTGACGCATTTGGCCACGATAACAGTCCAAGAATTAGATCACTCTCTCGTTGGATGGGCATTTCAAATACCTATCCAACAAAAAAAGGTTTTTTGAAATTGGTCGGATAATAACGATTTTAAAGGGGTGGTAAGTCCTTAAGGTGGACACACTGTAGAGCAGCAGAAAGAAATTAGTTTCTTTGCCGTATTCACAGTTTCAAACGAACTGTTATTGTAAACTGGTGGAAATGCCCTATATCACTGTCATTAAAAATCGAAATTTTGATGAAAATACGTTGAAAATATATTGCACTTCGAAATTATATTTTGATTTTTTGCGACCCCCAAACGTACTGCAAACTGAAATATGATCAGTACCCTGGATCCTCTTCCAACAAGCTTTCCAATGAGGGGTCGCAAGCCCTAGGGTTGCATTTGAAAAAACATGTTGGGGTTGATTCCAGCTACCCCTGATGGGTTATATCCTCCATATTGCTCGCCAAATGTAGGTAAATAACTTTAAACGTTGAAGTGTCTATCGCATTTTCAGAAAAAGCATTCACTTCCCCAGTAGCGTATTTATTCCAGTTAAAGTCTCCACCCTGTATAGGTAGTTCATCAATTGTTTCTTGATAAGCTACCATCTATAATGAAACAAACTGGACTGTACTCCTGGAGCTGGATATAGCCAATGAAGGAAATGAGAAGAATAGTTTGGTAGAATAGCCTTTTCATCACGCAAAACAGTTGAATAAATGGATAAATGTACATTCTGTATATTTTTCAGGATCACTGACGATATTTTGGCGATGGCACGCCCTAGCACCACTGTCATAGTCCAGAAGAATATAATTCAACAATTCGACAGGTATTTATTTCATCGATTCCTTTCGTTTTTTCGATCATTTCTAATCGCATCGATAGTTTAGGCATCAAATCAATCATAAATTTGCAAACTCCGAGAGAACATGCCAGTTGTGGACAGCCGTTGGAAAGATCTGGATTTTCATATGACCCCAACATGTTCATGGAACAAAACAGTAAGTGTCACTTCTGGTTAATTTTAGATTTTAACTTGTGTTCTATTTGTTGGTTGAAATTGAAATAACAAACTATCTCGAAGTACATTAAATTTTCAACTTTTCTGAAGGAAGAACCAAATGAATGTTTTTCCACTACTACCTCTAGAAAAAAATGCATATCTAGATGAACAAAGAAGGTACAAGTCCCTAGTTAGAAATAAAAAACAAAACAACTTCGAAACAATAACGAACACTTTATATAATTGTAAGGACTCCAAAAATGTTTGGTTAACAATAAAAAAATTCCGTGGTTCTAAAGCTATTCCAAATATTTCCGTTAAAGCTTGCGAAATATTTGATACTGATATCTACCCAACCAGAATCATAGATAATACACCATGATGTATGCTTTTCTTTACTATTGCTCAATAACTCAATAATACAATTTTAACTCTTACTAGTTGATAACGATACAGGTCATTGAGGTTGATTTTATGCATATATTCTACTTGTGTCCAATCTGCACAGCTCTTCGTGATGGCAAAATTTTTAATGATTTGGAATATCGCAGAAAATTCAGATAGTTACATATTGTTTTTCAGTAATCTGAACGGAGTACTATCAGCATTTACATCAAAATTTGGAGCCTGGTCTCATTTCTCCTTTTTTTCTTCAAAATGGGTGCATCCTATCGAATATCAAGGACCTTTTTCGTACAAAATTGAATGGCCTTTCGTAGATTGGTTAAACATTTTTTTCGATAAAAAACAGATGATTTTTCTCAAAAGGCGTCACAGGGACGATTGGCCAAATTTTATCACTATTTCATTTGTCCTCAGGATCTCACCAATTTCGTTGGAATATTTTCAATTTTTGTTCAGCCTAGTCAATGAACAAAACCTGTTATTTTTTATCTGTGACATTGACACCTTGTATCATGGAAACGAATGAAATTAGGACATAATAATTGTTTGTTGGAACTTTTAGTCAAAATAAACCAAGGAATTACAACCCTTAATATGAACATGACATTCAGAAACACTCTGTACAATTACTATTACTAGTTACGGAAAAGTGTTTTCGTTTTGGTCAAAGTGAAAATGTTACACTTCAGCAAAATAAATTATCGAAAAACCAAACACAAGTGGTTGCGGCGAGTTGTTCAGGATAATCAATTTACAACAATTTGAAATTTTCTCAAATTCTCATGTGAAGTCGGGAGGAGTTGAAAACAAATTTAAAAAAAATTGCAACCTTCTCCGATTTCGGAAAAATTTTGAAACTCCAATAAATGGAATATATTGCTGTACAGTGTTGCGAAAATCATCCCGCATATCAGATTTGTCACAATTCATTTCATTTGGGTGTATGATAAATTGACATTCATCATATAGGGCGTGGAAAGAAATTCTGAATTGAGACTCTATCACGAATCTGCGATTAGAGGTCTATTAAAATCACTCAAGTTTCCATCGTTCAAGTTTGAACCCTCTGATTAGGTATGAAAGTGTTGAAAAGGAATATTCTCAGATAAATTATGAACATACAAAAATGGATATATATTTATATAAAGCAATACATTGAGAATTCGCATTCTCTATGTGATGAGAATATTTATTGATTTTGAGTTTATTCAATAGAAAACAACTACTTTCCTGGCTATATGCCACGACGAACATTGAATTATATCTATTGAACACACAATTTCGGAGGATTTTATTCTTTATTTTTTATGTTCTCCTTTTGAATGTTCATCAGATATAATTCAATGTTCGACGTGGCAAATAGCCAGGAAAGTAGTTGTTTTCTTTTGAATATTCAGAATGATGTGTGCATATACCAAGGCATATACATATTTTTGTCTGAAGGAGAATGCAAATTCTCAATTTCAGAAGTTATTATATTTTATTTTCAAACTCTTATCGTGTGTGTTCAATAGATATAATTCAATGTTCGTCGTGGCATATAGCCAGGAAAGTAGTTGTTTTCTATTGAATAAACTGAAAAAGAGTAAATATTCTCATCACATAGAGAATGCGAATTCTCAATGTATTGCTTTATATAAATATATATCCATTTTTGTATGTTCATAATTTATCTGAGAATATTCCTTTTCAACAAATTCATTTCATCTTTGATATGGTAAATTTGATTCAGAAAGTTGCAGAATATTTTCAAATGTTCTGAATTTGGGATGCAAATGCTCAGAAGTTCGTGAAGCAATTACAAATTAGAAATTTTTTTAAATGTTCATTGACTACAAATAGATAATATATTTTTGCAAATGGAGCATTCACAACACAATTTGTTTCTCTAACATTAGTATCTGATAGACGTTTTATATCTCTTGTTATAGTGTAATCCCTGAAGTTTGAAGTTTGTAGAAACGTGTTACTATTGCGAGAAAAACAACCTACAAAGTTTATTGGCAACTTATGTATTCTTTTGCATGGTAACATGTTGAAAATGCATTAGCATTAGTACTTATCTAGGATAATTCTGTTCGTTATTAGCGAGCAAGCAAGCAAGGAATAACATAATTGATTATTCTCAACCTATACAGCACGAACCTCGAGACTTAGAGATTTTGAATGCTGATCATCTTGATCTGGCATGCCTCAGAGCCATAAGCTGTCTAAGTTTCCCATTTCCATAAATATTGCATTGTTAAGTCGAAACTGGTTTTGTCGATAAATTAAACTGGTCAACACCGATTTCAAGATTCAATGAGTGAAAATGACGTGGTTTTCACTCTATAGATAAACTGTGGAAATCTCACGGCTTATAGCGAAGGAATTATTTCGAAACTATTAGGTACTTTTCAAAATTACTCAAAACGTTTTGCAACTCTGAATAAATTATTTTGTTAACACTTACCTCCCCAATTACTTTATGGTCACTTCTGAGGTTTCTACGACGTTGTCGCTAGTTAATCCATCACCTAATAATTCATTCAATTCTTGGTAATATGTGAATAAGTAACATAATTATTGGTAATTTCTACTCGAAAAATTCCCAGTAAGTAAAAACTACTATTAGGTCATTTCCTGATAATCACTATAATGACTTTATCATCAAAATAGTAGTTCAACCTAACACGTGCTTAAAGTGACTTTCAAGCTCTTGTTAGGTACACTATTGTTTCTACTAGCGTGCGAAAAAATACCCAAATTCATTTTTTCCGCACTCTTTTTGGTTTTGAAAGTTTTTTTCCGTACGCTAGTAGAAAAAACTTAATCATGACTGGAGACTTCCTAAACTTACTTTCTGTTCATTTTTGATCGGGAGCCATATTAATTAATGTGCTATCTATTGAACAGAATTGAATTTTGGTTCTTCCTGTTGATAAACTTCATTATAATAACAATAATAATATTATTTGTTCTATAACAAATTGCATAATAGTGGAATTCAACATGATTTGCAATGATTTTTGGAACAAAGCCGGATAAAATCAAACCATATTTTCGTTAAAAAAGCTGTATTTTGTTGGTGCATCTTGAATTTCAACACATTTATCGATACACTGGTTGCTCAATAATAAAAAGGATCAAGTCAAGAATCAGAAATTAGATTAAATATTACGAAATAGGTACCTATAATTGCTCAATTTTTATCAACACATGGTGTTATTTTGGCGTATCTAATTTTCTTTTTGATAAACACGTCACATCCACTCCACTCAGTACAAGTTCTATACCGAGCAGCTGGTATGATTTGTAATAAAGGGGTGGTCAATAATAGATAGATATTAAATTGAAGAGGCACACCTTATATTCCCGTTATTCTTCTCAGAGGAAAAAAAATGGGAGAGTTTAATGCTGTAAGGCCTTTTCACGGCCCATGTCAGAAGTTTTACTGGGTTTTTAAATGGATCAATGGAACACTCTGGTTTTATATTTTTTTTTTCCAAAAACTATCTACGCATATGTTTTTTTGGGAATGTATTCCATATTCGATGATGTTAAGATACAATTGTCAAATATAGACTCAGTCATGGCTAACACGATATTTGTAGAAGCCAATACACAAACATTGTTTTTTTGAAGATAACATACTGTTTATACAGGGTGTCCCATATGTCAAGTATCAAAAAAGTGGGGTGGTAGGGGGATTCATTTCCAATCTAACTAACCATATATGTGATTATCCAATTGTTGACAATTCAATAGTTATTAATTTATTTTTCATTTCTCCCTAGAATCATGTAGTTTGTTTACTAAAAAATATAATTTTTTCTGTCACATTTTTAATCCGCATGGATGCATCTTTCCCAAGAAATATTTGTTATGACCTGTGTTACTTCCTATCAATTAAGAAAAATGTGTTTTCTATAAGTTTTGTCATGGATTAATCTATGGTTTTGTTGAATGAAATAATTCAGTTGATTTTATAATGCCTCTCGCGAATTTGAAAACGACTCCACAAAGATGGCCAACAATAAGAAAAAGTGGCCCATTCAAAACAGATTCAGAAATGGTTCAACATATGGAGTTATTCAAAACAACCTTTTTGTTATTAATATTTTCAAATGGGTCGCGTTTTTTAGAAAATTGAATAACTTTTGAACCATCAACAATTGGTTAACCACATATACCGTTAGTTTGATGACCCGCCTACAACCCCACTTCTTTTGATCCATCACTTATGGGATACCCTGTATATTCGATTCGAAAATATTTCAAAATAAGAGTGCTCCATTTGAAAAAAATAATTTGAGGATTGTTACGCTTCCAGAAATCACCATCAGAATGACATTTTTCGAGAAATGCATGACTAGAAAAAAAATCTATATCTTTCATACGATTTCGATAGAAATGAAAATTTTTTTTCTGAGGCTCAGCAGCTTTGCAAACATAAGCCATAGTTTCACACCCTGTTTGAGTTTCGTTTGATAGATTTTTTAATTATTGTAAAGCTGTCCCTGAAGTCGATGTAATAGCAAGTAAAACCATCAGAAAATACAGGTTATCTAAAATTCTGAGAGATGATCTTAGTGAGTTAAGAACTCTGTAATTAGGATACTTTTAGAGACAATAGCTCATGTTGGGTACTGGGTTCAGGACAGTAATATAAAAAAAGTTTCAAAAGTTTTTTACATGTTATTAAAAAAGACAATTTGAATGTTTTTTTTCTTCTTTCAAATGGATTTCAACTACCAGAATTAATCACTATCTTTCATTGATCAATCGTGTTAATTAAGTTAATTGACACGAAGTTCGACATAAAACCGAATTCTTTAGGCAAATACCTACTCGTCGAAATGGTTTCTGAGGAAACACATTATGTTTCCTGAAGCTGAATTCGGAAGTTACAAATTTTCCACATTCGACGACCAAAATTATGCGGCGTTACGTTTCAAATTTAATGGTGCTGCTTAGCACGCTAGCGTGAAAATTCCCAGAGGCATAATTTGGTCACCCACACATTTTATTGTGAACATTCACCATTTGATAAAAATCTACTTGCCTAAGAAGATCGATTTTTCTAACAAGTAGGTCAGGAAAACAATGGAAGTTTGCATATACAGCCGACAAATAATAACAATAATCATAAAATGAACTTTTATCAGGAGAACAACCCATGACAATGAATATACGCAACATCAGAGCTCATCTGATATAAAATTTGACTGACTATTCCTGTTACTTTTGGGTTTTTTTTGGGTCAATTGAAAAATTCAACAGTAACACAAGACATACAAGTATACACGTTCTTGATAAGTTGAAGCCTTGATCACAGAATACATTCACGGATTTGTTCAACAATTTAACATTACTGATTTTCTTTCACGGGGCTTTAATCTTTTCGACTTTCACTAAAATATTCCATTAGCTATGTAATATATATCTCAATAAAACATTGAAATAACAATCAATCAATAGAGATCAAATGCGAATACATTGATGTGTGTCCTATGTAAAAAAAGCTACCCTGTACTTCATAGATTATGAAAGAGCAATCAACACGCAATCAAATTTCTCAAATTAAAGTTAGTTATCAGGACCTATACCATCTTATTAATTGAAAAATAAATCCAATCATTTCCAATAATACAGAGTGTCCAGTCCGGGATTTATTCGCGAAGCACAGAACGCGGGAGTTTTTTTTATAAAAACTTGGAAGGGGGGGGGGAGATTATTGGATATCACTCATCCAGCCCCGGTTGTTCATTTGAAGAAATTGGATTAGAGCATGAATGATTGATTTTGAATTCCAATTTGCCCTGAAATAGATCCATTAGTAGAACTAATTCCGAATCCCGAAAGTAGATTCAGAGTAATTATTGTGCAGTGGCGGCTCTTGAAGTTTTTCACAATTCATGAGGTACAGCTCTGAACAACTGCAGTTTCTTATGGTTTTAGGTGAATATGTGGGTGCGATGCCAGATTTAATTTATACTTATGACTTGGAATGGATGAAAATAATCGACTCCGAAATGTATTCGCTATTCTCGATGATAATAATAATATAATAATAATAATAGTTTATTCGCTAAGTCACACAGGAAAACAATATTACAAAATACATATCAACTATAGATACGTGATGTGGAATAAACCCAACAGCTTCCATGAAGTTTCCTTGTTATGGAAGTCTAGTGATGAACAATATTGAAATATATAATTTTTGTTTGTTCTAAAATTTGTTCTATCCGTCATTCGGTTGCCCCCTTACGAGCAACCCTCAAAAGTCTTCGAAAGGCTTGTGCGAGCAAGGAATGACGGGGGGGGGGGCTTACCTTTTAACGTGTGATCCCAAACACTTTCTTGGGCCATCAGAAAAAATTCTGCAGTCGACGGGGATCGAACCCACGACCGGCAAGCGAATGCGAATGTTTCATCATTTCATCAGACATCAAAATTATTCAATTATTTCATGAATAATTTGGTCCATAATTCTTGACTAAACAGGAAGTCAGGAATAAAAAAAGTAATTTACCTATATTTAAGTAGGTACCACAGGTACCAACCTAGCCAATATCAAAATAGTACATTGCAGTCATAACATAATTTCTGAATACCCAAACCAATGGAAATGACACAAAGACAAAATTGGGGTTTATTTTAGCTTTATGCTATGTGAACATGGCAGTTAACTAATGCGTCAGCAGAATGGTGGAGGAGCAAGAACAGATTCTTTGAATTTATTTCCTGAAGTAGAATCAGCCTATGGAAAAAATAAAAAAGTATACAATGCTTTTTCATGAACTCCACGGAGAAATAATAGTAGATTGTTTAATTAGGATCAAAAGTGATACTTTGTTTGAAAAGCGAATTTTCGAGAGTAACCACCAGTGTGACTTGCTTGACAGATTATCATAATACCTTTATTATAATAATATAGGTAAGTAGATAGAAGCAAGACCTCATACTACTTTACATTAGAATATTGGTAGACGATGACTCTACTTTGTTACAATTTGTGTCAACATGCATCACCAGATACTACAGGCACGAATTCAATACTATACCCAAAACGTGAATGCCGTGCCATATGTATGCAATGCAATAAATAATCCGTGTGGCGAGAATATAGGAAAAAGAAGTGGAAAATGTTAGTTTAGTGAGCATATCAACAATAATACTAGCGATTATTTATTTCTCTCCATATTCCACTGTGTTTGGCTCAGTTATCAAAAGAAGGTGAACAATATCGTTGTGTGAGAAAAAAGTATTGCTGGCCGGGATTGTTCAGAAACAAATTATCCAATCAATGAGAATGACTGAAATACAGATCAAGCAAGTATGTGAATCTTGAAGGCTTTCCTGATCAAAACAAAAATACTTAACTATATCTCCAGCATGAGTATGAAATGCCAAATCTGCCGAAATCGGGTACAAATCAGGTATGCGTCCCAACCCAAATAACCAACCATAACAATGTTGTTTATTCTTGTTGACCTATTACATCCTTTTTAATTCCTAGGAGCCCAAGTTCAACTTAAGCTCCGAGGAACTAAAAGTGTTGCCTAGCAACATACCTATGTTGGTGTCAGTATTAGAAACGTCAATTCAAGAGCAAATTTTGATATTGAAATGGACGACTTTTGTGTCGGTTGCAGAAAAAAAATTCCTATAGGAAACTTCCCCATTGATTGAATTGCTTTTTTGATTAATGGAGTTGCATTTTTTATGGATGGCTTTATTTAATATTTTTTCCAGTTTACTATTACAATTTTGCATGGAAGGATTATGGTGACGCAACTCTAGCGGGACTTTTGAACATGGTGAAAGTTTTAGCGTTCGCATTGAACGAGGGGCGTGTAGCGATACACTGTCATGCAGGTAGGTGATCATAGATATCATGAGGGTAAATGCAGTTGTACCGTACAAGTCGATTTATAATAACTTTCACCCGAGTTCCTAGTTTTGAAATCGAAGCCCGTATAGAAACATGTTTCTGAAATAACCAAGTAGGTAGGTGCCGAGGTATTTATTTATTTAATTATTAGAAACATACAGGTTACCCTAATTACAATAAGTTTCTGTAACTATTAGTAAGTATGCTCAAAAACAACATAACATTGAAAAAAAAAGGTTGTCAGGGGTTCAGCACCAGAAGGACTTCATTGTTCACTTTTTATTTCAAAAACGGTTATTCTGAATGATTCGAGACTTGATCTGAATATATCCAGATTATATTCGAGATAGTATCGATTGTATAATTGGCATAATGAGTCAAGAGTATATGTAGTGTTGACAAAAAAAAGTAAGGCGTCTGGGGCACGTCCGATCGTCAGGTTAGGTTAGGTTAGGTTTACATTTATTTGATGAAGGAGTTCTGGAGAGTCTACATGGTTATTCATCAGTTTATAGACAAAAAGCAGGCCACGGTGGATTCTCTTGTACTCTAATTTTGTAATATTCAAATCACGCTTCAAGGGTTGAATAGAAACAAAATCTGGGGATGCGTTGAATTTTTTATAGAAACGATACTTCAGAAGTTTATTTCGGAGGGTCTCTATTTGATTAACATTTCCTTTGTTCAGAAAATTATTCCATATCAAACATACAAATTCCAATTTGCTTGTAAGCAGAGGGTTGTAAAGATATGTAGAGTGTGGAGACTTTAACTGGAATAAATTCGTTAGCGGGATGGTGAATATTTTTTCTAAATATTCCCGGCATACGTCAACGATTTGATGTATTTACTTACCTTTTGCAAGCAATATCGTGAATATATTCCTCCAGGGGTAGCTGAAACCACCCTCAACATGATTTTTTCAAATGTAACCCTATGGCTTGTGACCCCTCTCATTGGAAAGCTAGTGGAAAGAGGAATCCAGTGTACTGATCATACTGATTTTTTTTGTCCAACTACATCAATATGAATGTCTGAAATTCATTTCCAAAAGTGTTTGAGCTGTTTTCAACTTTGCCACACTTTCTGGGGAGCGTTGGACACTCAATCAAAAATAAATTACAACTAATTTTTATTCCTGAATCCTCATATGGCCTTCTGATATCACATAATATATGGAGCCACATACAGGATTTTTATCATGATTTTTTAGCAAAAAAGCAAGAAATATTCGAGAAAACGCGTGAATCCAACAACAAGTCACTTGACGGTATTGGATTCAAATATTATTAAGCTTCTGGAAATTGTAATTTCTTAGTAATAAATCCCTAGAAGAAGAATTCCAAAGCTCTGCCGGTCAAACGAGTTTTGGTAGGAAGTAGTTCGACATGATTCGAGATTGACGACAAAAGGAGGTGCTGACTGGCTTTGTCGAATTCGTTTGACTAGTAGTGCTATAGTGCTTATAGAATATATAAAACCTCACAAAAAATAGGATTCCCACAAAATTCTTGAAACAACATATTTCCAACACAGTATAGGTTCTTCAAGTGAAATATCCATTTCTGGTGAAAGTGAGGACTTTCAGTCATACAACCTCATTCAAAAATATGCTTACCGATCATGGCCCTCTTCTTTTCTAGTTATAGGCTCATCATCTGACCACCTGAAACAATATAAGTAAATCTCCCACAGGAATTTTTCAAAATGTAGCTGTCAAATTATCGGCATCTCTTCAAATTCAAAATTGAGTTGATATAATTCAAGCATTTCATATGATTTTTTTTTGTGATATGTATAAGTACTGTACATTTATTTTCGATCTACTTTTTTCTAGTAAGATTAAGAATGATGTCTTCTAGGTTTGGGAAGAACGGGCGTTCTTATAGCCTGCTACTTAGTATTTTCCTTGCGTGTTTCTGCAAACGATGCTATTCGTTACGTAAGACTGAAGAGACCTGGATCAGTACAAACTAGAGGACAAATTTTGTGTGTGAGACACTTTGCTCAGTTCATTCTTCCCCAAACAATCACCTATTACATAAAGTAAGTTGACACAGTAGTTATAGAAAAGGTTCTCAGGTTATCTCTCAGCATATCAAAATATAAACGTAAATGCAGTTTAGATCATAATAATATATTGAATACATCCATTTTCACATGTTTGTTCAGAGTAGTTCATCTTCAATTTCAGTGACGGTTTAATATTCGCTAATTACTGTGATGAAAACATTATCATCTCATGTAATTATGCTGAACAGCCTGTTTGGGTGATAAATGAATGAATAAATAAATATTAATGGTTTCAAGTACATGAAACATTTACTTGTATTTATACAATGTGTTCCCCGAGGCATATAACCTCCTTAGAAAGCATTTTCGGAACATTATTAATACAAACTTTTAGCTTCATTTTCATGCAAGGAATACGCCCCTGAAAGAATGCCGCTTACTTTTGAATCACTCTGTAAAGCTGGAAGAAATCATATAATTTATGACTTGGCCTACAACTGATGAAGTGTTTATTATTGATTTTACGAAATTCTATGTACTTATGTGAATAATTATCATAACAGTGTAAGGAACTTTTGAAAATAATTATCAAAAACTAACCAACCCCATAATCCATGACACTTTATCCCCAAAATATTCCACAAAAGTCTCTGACAATACCGTATATTCAAGGTATAAAATACTGATGGGTTGTCTTTATTTTTTTTTTTCTTCCAGAGAAATTGTCAGTAGAGATAAATATATGAATGAATTTACTCTCAGAAGGTTCTTGAAAAGACAAAGAGTAGTACTCCACGGTTATGACGAGAGAAATTTCAAATTCATCCCCAAGGTATTAATCCTGATGATTGGGAATATTGATGTTTTTAACTGAGATGCCTTGTTTTTTAGATCGTTCATTGTATATGCGAGAGAATTCTGAAAATGTGTTCATGTTGGACAGATGAATTTTCACAGTCGAATATTCCATATACTTCAGATTTTTTGACAGCCAAGTTACATGGGAATATCAACAGGAATGAGAGTTCTTACAGTATCAGCAGCATATCTAGTTGCAACTCTGAACGTAAGGATATGACTAGAACAGTGTATTTTGAGGTGTATTTACAATAGATTAATTTCGAGGACTGCTGTGGAAATCTTCAGGATAATATTCACTACAGTTAAAATTACGAAATCTAACAATTTTTCACGATTTTTTGTTTGACTTACTAAAATGAATTTCGTTCATTTTCAGAAGTATTACTAGGCTCAGAACTGGAGAAATCATTCTCCACTGAAATATCAAGCCCTTCCAGTCCCAATCCTTCAGAGATGGGAGACCTTACTGATTCCTTTTCCGAACTTAGTACTCTAGATGGAGATGAAATGAATGAAGAATTTCTGTTAGAAAATCGTTGTTTCCAAGAATTGGAAACCCAAAAAAATTTTTCCCAAGATGTGGTAGAGGACAAAATAGCTGTTCAAGATATTAGTATTGCCATCAAAGCACTAACAACTAGCTTAGAAGTACTAGACAATGCAACAAAGAGAAAAGTGAGACAATATCAACATGAACTCAATTCCTCACAACTTGGTTGGGCCAGATTGTTAGTTGAAAGGAATTTAGAGGTTCTAGCATCACTTCTTTTTGAATGGCTTGAAGGACTCAAAGTGCCCATTTTGCAGACAAATGATTTTGAAAACATTGTAATTCTGTACAAGCAGCCTGAAGCATGTCTTCAAAAGATTGCATTGGTAAATAGTTAACAACAGTTTGCATATGAGCATTCACTATAACTACTTCATTTTTCCAGGAAGAATGTTATTTGATAGAGTATTTGTTGAGGTTTCAAAGCAAAATTCAACCAGTTAGTAAAACAGATAGAGAAGACTTGATGAGAAGGTTGATTGCAGCACTTTCTCAACACAGTGTCTTGATAAACAATAATTTGGTTCCATCTGGTAAGAAATTCAACCTATATATGAACCAAGATGTGAACTCAATGACACAATTTTTTTAGGAAGAGGTTTTAGGAAGATAGGAGGAGGAACATTTACATGCACATACAATTTTTTCCAATCATTACTGGAAATGATTGAAAATCACTCCTCTCAGAAACCCACTTCATTCAGTAGTGAAGAAAAAATGTCTGATAATGAATCTGATGTTGAAAGGGGCTTCCAATGAAAAAAGAGATTATTTAAAAGGATAGGGGATATATTTTGATACAAGCCAAAATGTTACATACCAAAATGTGGGGGTAATGAGTTGACTTTACTATACCTATATTTACTGTTTTCATTTGAATTTATTAAATAAATAAATGAATAAATATGTATTTGACCTCAGAAAAAATTCTTGAGCAAACACATTTGATTATCTGATTATCCTTACCAGAGTCCTCACCATATTAATATTTTCCCATTTGTTCTTCCTACTACCCTGTTCATCAGCCTGCCAGTATTGTGGTAGTTTGTGGATTGCCTGATTGCAACATTTTATTGATTTTATGCACACTGACTGCATAATTTCAATTTGAAATTGACAATTAACAATTAACCTAACCTAAACTTCCACTACAACAAACAACAGCTAGCAGTTGAGCGCTTAGATCATACAGGATGACTGTATGATCAGAGATGATCTAAGGTTGAGCGTGGTTGAGCACAGAACAACAAGTTCTGCATTCTGCATTTACCATGTGCAGTACTGCAGCAGCAACTGCAGCAGTGCAGTGCAGTGAACTGTCCCCTGACACGTGCCAGACACTCAACTGTCGATCTGTCACCTGTTCTCAGAGTAGTACTGTCGGCACTGATGATTGTTGGTGTTTATCCGTTTTGCTGGCGTAACCATAATTTCATGCCACGTGCACCAGGGTTAGGTGTAATGATAATTTACTGTGACCACGCCATTATTTGAACACTTGGACACAAAATATCCAAAATTCAGATATGAAATTCTATGACACGTCTGTACCTTTGATATTAATTATCAGAATCAGAATACGTTAATTTATTATTGATGAAACAACGGAAATAAATGTGACATTCCTTCCTCCTCTAAAATAATGACAGTTTACGAAGCCACACTACCTTTTGCCGTCAGCAATTTTAGCAGCAGATTCTTGATTTCTTGAGTCGAAATGATTGGATTGAATAGTATGTCTGTTCCAATACACTCAGTTTAAATTGAGTTCATTGGTCTGTTCTCAAGTATCTGTCGATTTTTTGATTGCGGAATGAAAAAACAGCAGATTCAGGACTGTCAGTCGAATTCGGAATATAGCCATAGAACGCCAAGAACTTAACGGAACAGCGTTTTCCAATGTTTGAAACGGAGCATAGATAAACTACTCTCTTTTGTCTATGAAACAGAGGTACGTGTATGATTTTTGACATTACTGATCACAAGAACAAACCATTTTTTTGTATTTTCATAGAGTAGTTTGTTTATGCATTTTCATTTTTTTAACCTATAACATGTGAATTCTTCGTGAGATTAATTCAGACAATATTTATTCAATGTCATCCAAAACTGAAGACGACTTCTGGAACACTAGTTCATCATCAGGATTCAATTTTGATGATGAAGAAGTAAGATCATTATTAGGCCTCATAATAATATAATTCAACTAATTTTCAGTTTCAGGAGACCAGTGAGCCATATAAAGATTTTGTATTCAGTTCCACTCTAGAAGAAAGCAGTATTTTTCCAATTCATTCTCTCATTTCAAAAACCTGTTTAGATCTGAGTAAGTAACATCATAAGAACTATAGTATACAATTAATCTATTACTGTCTTCTCAGTTTTGGATGATGTCAAATCAACCAATGAATACATCATATCACCAGTTGGAGAGACTATCAAAAAAATGTCTAATGGTCAGACTTATTCTCTAGAAATATATAAAAGATTTATTGATAAAATGTTATTACTGGATGCTGCTTTAGGGACCATGGATGGAAATATTATATTGAATGTAGGACACATTTTCTGATCCAATTATATTTCACTGTAAACATGTCTTTTAGGTGATATTATTTTTGAAGACAACTTTATGCCAAAATATATTTTATCATCAATTATCTAAAAGAAAATTAGCTGTGAGGCATTATGCTAGTCACCTTATTGTCAAAAATAGTCTGTCAGATTTGGCTGAACTGTACATGTAAGTTTTCCTCAGTTTAATATTATGAACTTAGTTTGAAAAATTTTATAGGGCAACAGGACATAATAGCTTCTTGGTAAGAACTTGTAATGAAACCTTTCCAAAAATCATACTCTCCATATTTTGCCTCTGACAGTGGAAGAATATACCTGATGCTTGTTTTTCTTCAGAAACAGGTGTACCATCTGAAGGGAAGGGGTATTAGAAATAAGGAGACTCACTATAAGGTACTAGAAAATGTCATGATAGAAAATTTACAACTCAGTAATGATGAGAAACAAGAACTCAATGAACATTTGCAATTGCTGAGTAAGTTCTTGCCTTACAAGGCACTCTTTAGGATGTGATATTGTATGTTTTCCAGAGTGGCAAATTGATAAGAATGGGAACTGTGCTTCCATTATTGAACAGCTAGCTGTTCTTTGTAGAACTGAATGGGAGAGAAACAAAAACTCCAATGATGTTATTATGGATTTCAAGAAACAACTCAAAATTGATGATTTTGCTTTTGAGTGGACAGCAATGAATGTATTATCATCTATGCAGCTGTGGACTCAATTAACAGGTTTTTTCATGAAACCAGTGAGTGAAACCATTGAAAATTATAAGATACCAATTCTTAATATTATCATTTTAGAACTGGTTAACTAAGAGACATTCTCTCAAAACAGTGATGTGTCCAGAAATATTTGTACATGGTCTTAGTAGGCATCAGCCTCCCAAAGATGTGTTAGAGCAGTATCTAAATTCTGTATCAGATTCAGAGAAAAGTCTATACCTGGGTATCAAGTTGAACTGTCACAAATTTGTCATTCAACAGTATATCAATCAGAAGGACAGACTTGCTTTGATTGCCTATAAATCCAAAGTTTCTCCACAGAATCAAGAATATTTCCTTATTGAAAATGCTCTTCAATCCAGTGTAAGTATATATTATATACCACTGTAATTTTTTTTAGTTTCTGCTGTGAAAGGTAGAGAAATAACCGCTCTTCCAGTGAGACATTGTTTTGAATAAACTAGTACAAGGTCTATTTGGTTGAATTATACAAATTCCTTTGAAATTTGACCAATGAAAGTTGTGTCCAGTTAATATTACTCTGATTACCAGTTAACACCTGAATAGAGTCTTCCTTTCAGCTCTAGTCTTTAGGCTTCTGGACTTTCAACTTGAAATAATTAAATGTGAACAAGATTGGGAAGAACTTATTTCAGCTTGGTTTCACTTTCAAAACAGTTGTTCAGACTCTTATGCCTATATGCCTATACTGTCATAGTGCAATGGTGAATTTATTTGCAGGACAAAAAATGGAAGAATTGAATGTGATATTAGCCTAGAGTTATCCATGACTTGATGCTGAATGAGTTTTTATGAAAATATTCACATAGATACATCATTATATTCCATGTTGGCAAATTAAACCCAAATCCAATAAATAAACAGTTGTATTTTTTATTCATAATAGGAAAGAGAGTAATAATAATACTGATACATCTTACATGCTTTGCAACTTGCAAACTTATATATAATAAATCTAAAGTATATTGGTTCTCAACTAGGTACTAGTAAATATATTAACAAATCAATAAATAATAATAATGCATTTGTGAAATATAAGACACAGTCAATTTGACAGTTTCAAACAATGGGGGGTACCTTATTGGTACCTACTATATAACAATAATTATGGTGCTAAAAATCTCTTCAATATACAAATATTTATTCCCTTAAAATTGTAATCAGGAACTTGAATAAATAGGTATAAGATGTTGAAAAACATCAATTACCTACCTTTTATATTGCTATTGCATACAATTATATTTGATTTCACCATTCCTACCATAATGTATGGGGTGCATATTTAAATAGTGTCCACCAAGTAATATATGGAAAACTATGAAAATAACCCTGTTTGTGACCGATTTTCTGAAGTATTGATGTAAAACCATATGTTCAATTTTCTTTACCCATGCATTCTCTGAATGATTGATATCTCGCATAATTATGATTCAATAATTGATAATTAATTACTACTTTTCATTAATACTGAAATGAAATGATGCAGGACTTATTTATCACATATTTTGTTTTCACCATCTAGTACATTATAACATTTCCACAATAACACTTGAAGATTACAGTCAGCTTTGCAAACAAATTGTCATTCATCATAATCTGATCTAAAAGCAGCATAGTCACACAAACTGGTTGGTATATGAATACAATTTGTTTACTCGCGATAAATAAGAATACATATTGTATTCATGGTACCCATGGTAAATTAATACCAGTACATATTCCATTTGAAAAAAAAAATTCGAATCATTGGGCCACTGTATTAGAGGCGAATATTTGGAAATGGAAGTCATACCTTTATAATTATTGAATAATATTGAATATACTAAAACAGCTCTACACTGTATAAAATGATGAAATATAAACGCGATCATTCATATAAACTCTGCTCCTATTTGTTCTATAATAAATAAGTGAATTGTTGTCAGCTAGGCACGGTTTCAATTTTTTTTTCAATAGGTACTAGGATATTTCGAAAATATATATAGGTGCTGAAGTATTCCAATCAACGTGAAAATTGAATAATTATTTTTAATTTAAACTTTATATTTTTCAATGGTGTCATTCGATAGTAAAATGTGAGCTTTCTAGGAATTTGAATTAGATGCAATCATTGCAATATCAACCATTTTGGAGTGGTATTTTGCATCCCAAAACCTCCACACTCACTTGAGTGTGCCACTGCCGTTCGAAATATAAAAAAATACTACAAAAAAATAGTCTTGCACATTTATCCAATCCTGTTTCATTTGTCTGAAATGTGAAGCGGATTCCATTGTTTTTATCGTAAATATCAAATAGTTCTAAATCAAATGTGTTATGGATGAAGTTCATAATATATGTGATGTCACTATGACCTTCCACACTGGAGCTGTTTGATATCCTCTATACCAGGTATTCAATTTCGCAGAAAATCTTCAGAGCTATGCCGGCAAGATTACAATTCCATTATTAACTATACCTCTTTCAGCATGCTATCATTCATGTGACCTTTCATTATTTCTCCGGTGAATAAATTAATGAAATAAATACAGGTGTGGTTTACTTTTGACCTAAAGTTCAAACACGGAGTAATTATGTTATGCGGATAAAAATATAGGCATAAGGACATGATGAAGCACATGTAAGAACAGGAAATTACTCGGTGACTTTGAAGTACAGGTGAACAAAATATTGAAAGCTATATACATTTTTGTCCTATGACTGAAAGAAATTGGTGTTTTTTACAGTTGTACTTTATTTCCTGGACCTGGAACACTTTTGTTTGGTTGCCACTTTCCATCGTAAAAATGAAAAATGGCAGTCACTGTAAAATGTATGCACGGAATTTTTTGGAATAAAATATACATCGAAATTCCCTTGAACATACATAGGGTGAACCAGATTCAATGTGGGTACTTACTTGTAATGAATGAAAAGTGCAAACCATCTTTCTCATTTCAATAATAACGATTCCTTTTCCACCGATATACCACACTTGAATTTTTTTGTTTATACACTACTGAGATGATATCACAATCAATAAACTTATATGCTTCGAAAAATGATTTTGTCAATGTTTCAAATAGCTATCACCAACATATAATGATAGTACCTTGATTGGTATTGAAAAACTGAAAAAGATTGAATACCTAGTAAAAAAAAGTGAGGCTGTTATACAATTTCAAGTGTCAAATCATCATCTAGGTGAATATATATTGAATCATTGTTTTCTTTATTCAGTTGCTAGAACATAAAATTTTTCATAGTACTCTTTTCAAGGAAATTTTAGAAAACGAGAGGGGTGCGAAAAGTTGAAGTTTCATGAATTCTCAATTATATCAGTAGAGATATAGTGATCAAGAAGAATGTCCAATTGCAGTAATCGTTACACAGGTAATTTCTCGCTCTTTCCTCAGGTGGCGTATAGAGTTTGTAAAAATGCCTACATACATCCAATACCTCAGGTCAAATATATGGTTCCCAACAAAAACAGTATAGGAACACTGAATTTCATTCCATTCAGTTATCATACAGTACGAGTAGTTATATTATTATAGAAACTACAATTCAACAATCACAGATATGTTCTGTTAATTTTTTTAAGTTTCAATAAACTTGCATTAAATGCTTTGGAGCATCTCTTTGAGAAACAACAATAATTGCCTAATAAAACAAATATTCTAACAATAAAATGGACGGCCCTATTGCAAGACAATATATAACAATAATAATATTCACTAAACCGTTCCGGAAATTTCACTATCATCAAATAAATAAAATCTATTTGAATTGCACTATATATATACTAGGAAGCTGACGGTCTTTTGATACGACTCTGTGCCGTTTTCCAAGGATTCATTATCGGGTACTAAGATACAGGGTGATTCACTATATACGTATTCGTTCAGCAATATTGCAAGTGTAAATTTGTAAATGTAACGTTCCAGCAATGTCACACAAACATGTAATATTGCTGCAACGCTACATTATCAAACTTCACCTTTGCAATATTGCTGAACGTCCGTTTCAGTAATTGCTTCAACATTGCATCAACATAGCTTTCAAGTTTGCTTAGCGGGTTATATTTGAAAATCGTTTCCACCTGAATCGAGAGTTTTCATGTTATGAAGAGGGCTTTAAGAGGTCTCTAATATTTATTTAGAATCTTATTGAGGGGAAGTTTACGGTTGGAGGCAATCCACAATCGACTCATCCCATACCTCACTCCCATCGGATACCTACCCTCGAAAATGCACAGAGCCCATATATCTGATAATACATATATGGATATCAGAAACCAAAACGATTGAGAGTCTAAAATGGGAAGCGAATACATCAGTACAAATACTATTCACGTAGGTAGCAAATGCCATCATCAGCAATCAACAAAAAAGTACAAGCAGTATACGTTGTATAATTTTTTGTGTACAGTACCGAATTATCTATCTGTGTTTCAAGAAAACAGCAAAAATGAATTTTTGATTCAGGTCACCATATTCAGGAATTTTGATTAAAAAAAAACTGATTGAAAGTGTATTCATGGAACATTCATCTTTATTACATTATCATTACCTCACTGAACTTTGAAAGATTGAGCCACGGAAAACAATGGATTCCTTTTTAAATATAACTCTAATACACTGGCAAGATAGGTCTCATACATTTTATACCTATTCATAATGTAGTGATGATATTATAATGAATGTTGCATCAATCACGGCTAATTGTTAGCGATGCAGTGTTTTTCATCAAAACAGCAAGAATTTCTTTATTATATGAGGGGAATTGAAAAAAAATTGATTTTCCTGGTTCAAACTAGGTTTATGGAACTTTTTTTAGGTAGTGCGGAGTATACTTCATCAGGATCAAAATTATCACAGTTTTACTACTACGTTCGTAGAAGATATTGACTATATATATATATCATAATATAACAGTCCGAAGATTCGTGAAATTGACTTTTTCGATGGATTATCAGTAATGTTCAATTCATATGCCTGCCTCCATAGTTGGCTTCACATTTGCATCTGTAAACAATTGACGTTATCCATATAGGCATTATTAGATATATATCAGCCATACCCAAAGACCTAATGGATGCTAATGGTATCGAACTACTAGATGTGCCTTTGCCTTGCTGTCTTGTAGGAGGCATTGAAAGTAACAAAAGAGAGAGGAAGATTCAGCTAATAGCTGCTCGTTATTGTCTCCCTCTTTTTCGTCGAATTTATTGGTTTATTCTCAACATCTTTCTCTAGCGTGAGTATGGTTCGATTAATTAAATTAATTAATTAGCAAAAACGTTTTTATTTCTCAAAATCAGAGAGGCAAAATTAAGTTTTTATCCAGCATTTTACTTCACATTAACTTGTAGTTGAATCAAGCAAGCTATGTTTATTGCTGGACGATTTTGGCTGTGAGGATACTAGCGAAGTTATCATCGGTCAATTTGAATTGGTTAGTTTCCATTGACCAATAATAACATCACAAGTTCCATTGCTAGCATCGCCAAAACCAAAATCGCCTAACAATTAATCCATCTTCCATGCCATATTGGTCTCTTGCGTCTCACTCTCATGCTGTTTTCAATACCTCTTTCTCTCTGGACCAGTGGACCATCTACTAGTCACTAGTTCGTATCATTAGATCTTTGGCCGTACCGGAAAACCAGTCGCAACCTGTCGCCGCCGACCGACCCTTACACCTCACCGTAAAAGCCTGCTCCGAGATAGGCATGTCCCTGTCAGCCGACTCCAGCAGGGGGATTCTGTTTCACGGTCGTCGATTGTCGTACGATATGATGATGAACTCGAAGTCTAATTAATTTCCTATTCTATTTCTCGATCAAGTCGCGTTCGAATTCGAGGTTATGGTGGTTATATTGTTTTTATGAATTTGAAAGACAAAAATAAAAATAATTCTAATTCTTCGAGATGGTATTTCAGCAGCAGCAGCTCAAGATAGGCAAAGAAGTTTGGATCTAATTCGTCGACAACAAGAACTATGAAACAGAAGTAGGTAGGTACCTACCTAATCCATTTTCATTATCTGAAAAATGATTTATTGAGCTATTTAGATCGAACAGAAGGTTGGTTCGTCTTCTGATGAAATCATTGAGACCCCATTTATTAGTGGATAGGTCAAAGTATGAATGGAATAGGTATACAAAATCTCAAATATTCTGTGCATTGAGGTTTTATGCAACTGAATCATAGCAAAGATGCTACCTTATGTCATTTCTCAGGAGTTCACTCGCCAAGCCCCAATGAATTTGCTTGGCTTAGCCTGATTCACAGTATTTTATTGATGTCACGACCATTAGACTAGAAATCATCTTGGGCCGTGGCCATGTTCTGTGCTGTTCTAAAAATTTTATTAACATTTCCCAGTGGGCATCTCTGAGTTTGAACGGCATCGAAAATTAATTATATATTATATTTATGAAGAATAAGTTGATAACTTTCAAAGCTGTGCTTTCACATAAACAAGATGATCTAACCTCAAATTGGGATGAAGATGAAAAGAAACATTCGATGATAGATAAGGATAGATTAACAAAACGCATCGACTCGACTCCTCTTGAGCTATCGAGGACGATTCATTCGAGAAACAGAATACCAAATATCGAATAAAGATGGCCGATTCGACTCGATTCGTGAAATAGTATCTCCCTGCAGCAGGGACGATAGAATAGGAAATGAATTCGACTTCGAGTTCATCATCGTATCGTACGACAATCGACGATCGTGAAACAGAATCCCTCTGCAGTACTCCTTCCAGACCCCTCACCGCACGCAGGCGCACCTCACGCCCACGCGTGCCTACAGCGTGTCCCTGTCAGCTGACTCGGACTTGCCGGGCGTCGGATGCGCCCTTTTCGGCGGCGGCAACAGCGGGAACAGCCGGTGTTCGGTCTGCCAATAGGCCTTCCGGACCCCTCACAGCACGCAGGCGCAGCGCTTGCTCACGCGTGCCTACGGCGTGTCCCTGTCAGCCGACTCGGACTTGCCGGGCGTCGGATGCGCCCTTTTCGGCGGCGGCTGCAGCGGGAACAGCCGGTGCTCCGTGGGCCAGTACTGGCGCTCGTCGTCGGCCGCCGCCGCTGCCGCCCCCATCGACGGGACGTACTGCTCGGGCATCCAGTCGAAGGAGAAGGCGCTCGCCTGCGCGCTGGGGGTGGCCGTCGGGGTGGGCGGGGCGCTGCCGATGTACGGGCTGAGCTCTTGGTGGCACAAGTCGGGCACCTGCTCCGGAATATTGACAAGTAATAGTTGAGATGTTTATAATCAATTTGATGTTTGCAAAATTAACGTACTTACACCATTTCTGTATTTTTTTGTCGTAATTCTTGTTATTTGGTCGGATGGCCATTAAAAATATGACGATATCAGCGCCTCTTACGGATTTTCTATGAACAGGATAAGTGTCGTGAGTTTTTGACCAATGTAATCAAGGCAACCGACCTTGAGTAAGAACACCATCTTCCACATCTCAGATATAGTCTTTGCAAAGTCAGTTGAGACACCGATACAAATTTCAACCGACCACAGTCGGCGAATTCTATGAAAATCGCAATTTTAGGCTCTTGTTACATATTATCCTAGTAGCTGTCGCTGTACGAATTCGCTTCAAAATGGAAATGGGAACTCAATTATCAGAATTGTATTAAACACTATCAAAAATTAATGTTCTTACATCAATGGATATTCAAAAAAGTTCCGGATATTCATGGACATGAAATTTAAATCCATTTGAAAACCCTCAAAAGTCATTATAATGACTTTTCCCATCATAATAACCTTCCCATTATACTGACTTTTTTCTTATTATAATGACATTTTTCTCATTATAATGACTTTCCTCATTATAATGAGTTTTTTCTCATTATAATAGTTTTTTTCATTGGACGGCCAACGTTCCACATCATGAATGGAACTATTCCAGAAGAAAATTGTGCCTGTCTAGAGTCACGTTGAAACTCATGTAGCCAGAGCTCTTAGACTATTAGGGACAGTACCTTCTGCAGAGTATCAGACCACGGCGGGCTCGGGTTCCACTGGTCCATCAGGTCGCTCGGGTCGACCTTGAGCAGCGTCCTCGGCCGCTCCGACAGGTGCGACACGACCAACAAACCGCCGCCGCCGACGCCCGCCTCCGCGGCGTCGCGGTCCGCCAGGTCGAGCTCGAGGCGGCGCAGCGGTGGCCGCAGCTGCGGCTCCTTCGGCTTGCGTTTGCTGTACGAGTAGTCGACCGGCTCCGATTCGGCGCGCCGGTGGTGGCGCTGCTGGTGCTGCTGGTGGTGGTGGTGCGCGTGCGCGTGCGTGACGGCCGCGTGGTGGGTCAGGTGGGGCTGCGCAGTTCAAAGGAGAGAGTTGATTGTGGAACTTTGCTTTGCGGAATCATGGATAGAGAATCGAGCGCATGCCATCTATAGGTTCCTATAGATGGCATCCTCTGCAGCATGTGCAGTTTCACAGAACCATTGGTATTTTTCATGTTCCGTGGAACTGCGCTTGCTTCCGATACTTTCACACTGTTTATTTTTCAGTGAAATCCGTCATTCTCTGGGATGCTTAGGCTGTGTCAAGACATTCGTCCGACCACAGTCGTGATACCAGAATGGTCGATGGCTGACTCGACTTCCATTAGTAGTTAATGTGGTAACTTTGTGGGCAATCAAACAGCTGGCTGGTCAGACTGATGGTCAGACTTCAAACTCAACGTATGTGCCCGGTCAAACCACAGACTTGATACAACCCTAGTCATTTCACGTATTGCCGGCAAACAGCGTAACTCTAAATTTCGTACACCGTTTGCCTAATGGTTTCAGGCATTCCCTGTAATGATGAAAGGAAGGTTCATTTAGGCCGAGTCAGCTTAGGTTGTTTTGAAGGAGTTGTCTCTTCAGTTCTCTCTCTTCTCTCTCTTTTCTGAAAAATATACTTTCTAGGCGGAAAAATAGTCTCCCTTCTTATGCATATGCAGAAAGGATATTTTCCTACCTCAACTCCCCGACAAACAGAGTAACGGCTGAAAATGGAAGATACGCTGTTACGCTGTTTGCCGACAATATGTGAAATGACTAGGCATTTCAGGGAATGACGGATTTCACTAATTGACGCCGACATATTCACCGAATAGCTTGTTATGTTCCATCTTCTTGGAGATCAAGGTTCGAGTTATCGAAACATCTTCAGGAGTACAAGGGAGAACAACAGAATTATAGCCCCCCTTTTTTGATTGGTTCATTATGGAACTGATCACAATTGTTGATAACTTTTTATTTGCTAACCTACCTGTTACTATAAACAATACAATAATCTGACTATCGTAACACTTTATATCGAAAAAGTTGTGTTGGTACCTGATTCCAATGAATTACGTAAGCAATATATCATGAACATCTACTAAAAGTTGTAGCCAGAAAAATTTCCACACAGGAGCAGACTTGTGACTTCTAGTTCCGCCACAACAAACATTTTATTTCAGTCAAATAAGTCAAATAGTTTTGAAAACTATCAACTTTACCTTGCACATTTCCAAAGTACTTTCCTTCTGTAAAGCGCTTTTTATGAGATGAATACAATAAAAAGATATTTGAAAAATTTCAGGTCGAATGTCAATTCCTTGATCCACTATATGTTTTCAACTTTTTCTCAAATAATTTCAAGCTAATGTATAGCTCCTTAGTAGCGTATAAGTGAAAATTTGGGATACGGAATTAGATTTCGATTTATTCAAGCATTTTTTCTGTAGAATTTTTTGATATGTCAACTATACTTAACCCTCAACGTACCGTACGGGTCCTCTTTCGGGACCCCGGTCGCAGTATTCCAGTAATATTTTGATTATTCGAATATTTTAGCAACATTGCTTCTAGGTATACATGGAAACGTCCGTTTTGTTGCGTTCAGACCGAGTTACAATCGATTTAGGTAAGTTGGGGCTCTCAAGGACCCCCAATGGATGTACCGTCGCTCAATATGTTGAGTTAATAATTGAATTTATTTTTGAGTTTTCACCAAAAATGGATTTAAAAAGTTGTTTGGAGCAGCCACTACCATTGTCGCAAAGGGAACAAGAAGAACCTGGCTGAAAATCTGGATATATAAGATTCTGATTCCGAAAACGTTTACGAAAATAGATTCGGTATCAAAGCAAATGATGATCGATCCTTTGTTTTTAGTTGAAACAGCTTTGTTCTCGTTGGATTTCATATAATAATGCCAAATAAATATGTATGAGAAGTCCAAGTGGTGGTATTTTCAGAAAAATATTCAAGAAGTTAGGTTGTTGAACACATATTATTTTGGTGGGGTCTTAAAAGGACCTCCCATGGTAATTTACGTAGGTAACTTTTATAGTCACGGTACGTTATGAGGATTAAGGGCTTTTGTCTCGAGAAAAATATACAGATGAAGGATCATATAGTCTATCATTTCTCTTGATAGATTACATTTCATGCCATGCCCTTGAATCTCTGCTCATGATTCCGCAGCGTTATCCCCACCATTCGCGTTTTCATTCATCAATTTGTCTCACTGAAACTTACCGCCTTATATTATGCCATTGAATCTATATGAATCAGAGGAGGAGTGCGTACCTGTAGGGTAGAAGGCATGGAGTTCAGGTGGTACCCCCCTGCCTCGTGACTCCCCCCGTACTCGGGCGCCTGCGGCGGGTGCTCCGGGTAGTAGACCAGACGGGCCGCGTGGCCCGCGTCGTACGCCAGCCCGTACTGCAGCTTGCTCTGCGCCGAGTAGTACTGGTACAGCCAGCCGTTCGTCCGCATCACCGCCGCCTCCGCCTCGCTGAGCACCTGGTTGGTGCACACGATGACTGGTTGCTGGTTGCTTTCGGAGCTCTCCTTCACTTGCAGCACGCAGTGCATCCAGATCCACTCGCCGGTGCGACGTTGGAACTGGGCCAGCAGGATGCACGAGCGTTCCTGCTCCGATTGGGTGACTGCAAGAAGGGTTAGCTCGAATAATCAATGGCTGGACTAGATCCCATATAGCACCAGTACGTCCCCAAAACGTACTGACAACGTCCGGCCAAGACGTTTCGTATGTACAGTGTGTCCAGTTTTCGATGCTTTTGCGTGATATCTCAGTTATCTTTGGAGATAGAACCTTGCGGGTTTCGCGGTCTCGTGCCACTTTTTTGTGAAACTCAAGATGGCGTCATCAGATTTTGCATACCTGTTTCCGTTTTTGGGATACAGGGAGGTTCTGAAAATTTATACTTTTTGGACCCTCTCTATATCTACGAAGTTTCTCAGAGAAAATTTCAATATAAAATCTTAGCCCACAGAGGATTCTACCCAGAATCCAGTGGCGCACTCAATTTTTTTTTCGGGGTATGGTTTTGGAGATACGATTCAAACTAATGATTTTATCAGCTCATTAAATTCCTTATTTTGTTCCCTTCAAGATAATATATAATGTATAAATATAAAGATTTCAAAAATGCCCCAAAATCACTAAAACATTGTATTTAAACGGATTGGATGGATTTTTCATACAAAAAAGTCCCAATTGAAGGAATATTCTTCCATGAAGAGGACAAAAACCATTCCAACACTAATAAACCAACAAAATACAAAACTTAGTTACCCGATAGCAACAAATAAATAGTAATAAAAAGTTCATAATTTAGAATACCTGATCAAATATTTACTAAAACAATTGAATTTTGAAATCATTCAGTAACTTATTCATTGAATTGTTCAAATTGATGTCAATTTTGCCTCACATACTTTCTCAATATAAAATTATTGAAGGATGTCTTTGTAATTTCTGGAAAACTGCCCCTGTGAAATTCTTCAAGATTGTTGTCCTCTGACTGTATTAAGACGTATTGAGAAAGTGTGTCATTTGTGTGTTAGGGAAAATGGACATCAATTTGAACAATTCAATGAGTAAATTACTGAATAATTTCGAAATTCAATCATTTTAGTAATATTTTAGTATATATTCAATCAGATGCTTATTCTACATTATGAACTTTTCATTACTATTTATTTGTTGCTTTCAGGTACCTAACTTTTGTGTTGTGTTAGTTAATCAGTTCTTGTCCTCTTCATGGAAAAATCGATAGAAATATCCCTTCAATCTTTTTTATATAAAAAATCCATAGCCCACTATTAAAATTCAATGTTTTAGTGAATTTTGAGCATTTTTGAAAATTGTATATCTATATATCATATATCATTTTGAGGGGAAACAAAATAAGGAATTTAATTAGCTTATATAATACAGGGTGTTCCATTTGAAAAATCATAAGTTTGAGTCGTATCTGCAAAGCCGTACTCCGAGAAAAAAAATTGAATGCGTCACTAGATTCTGCGTGAAATTCTCAATGGAATAAGATGTTAATTTGACATTTTCGCTAAGAAACTTCGTTGATTTAGAGGGGGTTCAAAAATAATACATTTTCAAAATCGCCCTGTATCTCATAATCAGAAACAGTAGTGCAAAATCTAATTAGGCCACCTTGAGTTTCACAAAAAAGTGGCACAGGACCGCGAAAACCTCAAGGTTCTATCTCCAAAGATGACTAAGATATTACGCTAAATCATCGAAAACTGGACACACTGTACTGGGGACGTCCAGATTAGGGCCGTAGACGTACTAGGTACGTATTGGGGACGTCCAGATTCCGCGCATTTGTACATCCCCAGTACGTCCATTCAGGACCATGAATACCTAAATCCAATTCGGTGACTGCAAAAAGGGTTAGCTCGAATTATGACTAGACTTTAAAGCTTACGAAGCATCCTCAATCCTCACTATCAGATTGTTCACAGTGAATCACTTGATACATCTTTTGACAGTGGGCTGATGATTCTGATTACGGTGCTGTATATATTATTAAAAAAACAGAGAATAGAACATTTTCGGGGACAACAGAAGCACCCAGCGGGGTACATTCCAGGGTCACATGACATATTTTGTTCTACAGGAAAATCTGAAGTGTTTTTGATTTTTCATCACTGTTTTTGATAACCGGACTGAACGTATGAAAAAGGTTTAGATATTCATCAATTTTTTATAGCACCCACCGTCTTTTAAAAAAGTTTCATCAGAAATACAAAAAACAGAACACTGAGTGAGGAAAAACCTGGAAATACAAACATTTCCATATTGTCATCCAGAGCCGTCCTATATAAAAAGAGATTACATCAAATTGCTTGATTAGTTCTGCATAACAACATTGATAATAAACAAACTATGCTAGCTTTCTTATATAATCATTGTGATTACCTACTTAAATATCCGTTAGTAATCACCAAGATATACTCATAAATAAATATCTGATGGGAGTTCCATAATATTTGTTCAATATCCGATAACTTGACCATTAAAATTTGATTCTCACACTCTTACAATCACTCAACGTATCATTACATTATTAACATATAAGGTCATGGCAGGTGATGTAGGCGATAAATGCGCATTTATACTTCACTTTCTCATGTTACCATTCCTTTTGTAATTTATTAGAAAATATGCCCTACCAAAGAACAATATGACCTTCGAGAAAAGGCTCCACCAACATTTGCCCTCTCTCAGTGCAGTGGAAACACGACAGGTGCCTTTACGAAGGGCGTGTACTGACATTTGGCTATTGACATCTATTCAATCTATCAATCCATCTCTTCGAAGAAGGTATATACAGTGATTTTCATATATGTTTACCAATGCTTTTATTAACATGATCAGAGAAATTTGCAGTTCCTATAATGACTTTCGAAGGCCTACTACCATATTTTCAATGAAATTATTCACTATCAGATTAGAAAAGGGTACGTTTTATTCTGAAGAAGTGTTTATCAAGGACACCTATATATAGGTACCTTATATACCCATGGATTGAACAAACCCCTAATATATGGCACTGAGAGCACTGATGTAGAAATCCTATTGAGGGATTATTTTCTTGAAGGTTTACATTATTTGATTCTCTGGGAATTCAACCACATATATGCATTTCAAATTGACCAGATGAATACTCCTCATAGACAGGGTGTTTCATTAATTTACGACGAAAATTCTGGATTAAGTAGTACAAGTGAAAAATATACTAGGTTGGAACAAAATGTATCGGTCATACCTTCCAAATATTTTCACCCTTGAAGATGACCATCATCATTGTGTGATTTTGAGTTGATAACTTATTCCCGACAGTCTTTAATCATATTTCGTAAATGAGAAAACTAGACTAGTATAGTATCCTTGTTTAATAATAACTTTTGAGTCTAAAATCTAGTCTAAGTGCCTATATATTTGAAAAATTCAAGTCTCGTCATCAAATGTACCTAACATTTATCAAATGAAAAAGGTATTCTTGTTTAATATCTATGAACCTGTTTCCCAGAAACAACGATAGGGGAACACAAAATGAGGCCTTCACCAAAATTTTAAAAGACGAGATATTTTTTTTGCGATAGTTACGATGGTCTCATTGGTCTCCGTCACTCAGAGGCCTCATTCAAAGTTGACACTGTACCTATTGATTCAGTAATGTTAGGCTCCTTTTGTATAGTAACAAACTTTAGAAAGGAATTTGTGTGACGCCCTCGTTGGAAAAACACGGTCTGAAATTTATAATACAGTTGTTCAAATTTTGGCGAAGGCACTAAGTGTTCCTCTATCAATTAACCGGTTTTTTTCTTAAAACGGTCAAGTTCATCGATATTGAACACGAATACCTCATACTTGGTAGAAAAATGTTCGGGGAACATGGTGGTATGACTAAGAATTCACCGGAATTTTATTGACCGACCATTGACACGTCATCGGCTAGGAACTCCATTCCGATAATTTTTTATCATTCAAGGGCACATATCTCCGAAATGAATCGAGTTAGGGTAACTCCTAGTATTATTCTTACTTGTAGTGCACAATTCCCTTGGCTTCATATATACTTATGGAACACCTTGTTAACCCATGCTCTGGGGTGTCCAAGATCAAATGGTTATGAACTTGTATGCTGTGACAAAATAACATAATTCATGCTAGCGATTAAATGAAGGAAGAGAAATCAAGGTCTAAAACATCAAAAACTGTCATTTAAAATTTTGGTGGAGGCACGCTTTCAGTTGGGGGTATACAGTGGTAGGACTTTCATTTCAAATTTTGGTGGATGCACCACTTTGTGCCTGCTTTCAGTTGAGTGGAATTTTCTGGAAAACGGACAAGGTTCATCGATATTCAACACGAGTACATTCTTGAACCTTTACCATGAAACGTTATCAACAATGAAGTCCATTCCAATAATTCTCATTCACGGTAAATATCTCCGAAAGGGAACGATTTAGGGAAATATTTTATATACTAAATGATACACACAATCATCTCCACGCCCACGACATTGAATGTGATTTACACATCATTTGAAATTGGTACATGTCCATCCTCAGCCCAACATCAGAAATTACATCAATGTCATAGGGATAAAAATGTTATGTGAATTACTTATGATAATGGAGGGTTTTCATTCTGAATAATTTTGAGGAAGCCCAGCAATCTCCGTTTGTGTTTTTATAACATTGCAACGGGTACACATCCGTTGGTGAGCCATTTGTTGGTTTCCTCCTTAATCCAGCGTTTTAGAGGTCAGGATTCATAAATACCAAATACAAGTGAGTATCTTTTTGTTAGAGAGAAATTTGGGGTGGTATACCTTCAAGCATTCTGGAATTTGCCGAAATTTCATTCAAATTGAACAGACCATTGAGAGATTATCAGATAAGAACTACATTCCGAAAATGTGCTCATTAATTCAATGGCAAATATCTAAAAAATCGAGCGACTTAGGAAATTTCATTCGGACTCCAACTCCAAGTATCATTTTCATCTCTCAGATTCGGCTGTATACCTACTTATGGAACACCTTGTAAAACCATGTTCTGTGTTTTTCGAGATCAAACAGTTATGAACTTTGCTCGAGCTAGATGGAAATTTAGAAAACATCAGTTTATCATCAAGATACAACTCTCCATTGTTTGCTGTGACAATATGACATGTTAAATATGCTAGCGATTGCATAACGCAATAAAATAAAAACTGTTCCTCGCAGCGCTCTGCTATGCTGCGCGGACCGTTTCATGCATCCACTTCTGGTGGGAGGAGCATACCTCGCGCAATTTTTACCATACTTAGTAGGTACCCCGTCTATGTGTACTTACTGAGTCGATGTTTGGTCTGGGCCTCACGCGTGCTTTCCCAGTGCAGCAGCCGGTACCAGGACAACCCCTGGAGATCGGAGCGCGGAAAGCCCAGGTAGAATTCGCCGCTGCAAAACAAGCAATTACAACGGTCAGTGGCGTAGCGATGGCAAGGCCGATTTTGACGGGAGCGCGTAGAACGGCCGCCAAATTGAAAAGAACATCGATTCATTGAAACTCAAAACTTGCAGGGATTTTAAAATCAAGGAGTTTCCATTTGCTGTATTTCGGAAGATATAGTTTGCAGCTATTGAAAATTGTAATGGAAACGATTTTTCAACTATGATGCTTATGTATACAAGTGAAATTTTTTGCATGAAATTGCAGAAATAAAGAATTTCGAAACTCATAATTTGCGATAAATTGAAATATTGCTTCCAGTAATTTTGAATTTCTCAAGTCATAGGTCCGATTGCATAAACCCCTCTTTTAGCTTAACGATGAATCAACTCTTCTAACTCATCAGTCAACGCACAAGATACCACGGCCATAAACAAATTGAATATTCAATCTTCTGTCAAATGCTTTATGTAACTGGCCTATTACTTGCAGCAATTACTTATTGCTGCGAAATGAAATAAATTTTGGTCCACTTTGGACATTATAATTTTCGAAATTCCGCTAAACTACTAGAGAAAGTTGCAATAATTCGCTTCTTTTTTTTGATGGCCTTCCGCTATGCTTTCTCACATCTGCAGTTGAATGAAATATCATCAAACAATAAGCCATATACCTACAATTCTAATATTATAATAGTAATCCTGCTATTTGGAAATCCAACAATTTGATTCTATACAAATTAACAATTGCAATTCATGAGTATGCTATATTATTTTGGTAATTTCCTCAATAATGTGTAAGAAACAAGGAATTTCGATTTTGAATCACTTCAAGTAATACCTTGCAGAATTTTGAGGAAAACTGCCAGTTGTAAGTTGCATGTTATTTTTAATTGTTGTCACCTTTCAAACATCCTAGATTGAGTTGACAGTGAAAATGCAATATGTGGTACAAACTCATTGAAGTTCAGAACGTTCGACATTCACAAAATAATGATTTCGTTCGATAGCAGCAGCATCATTTTCTCGAAATTTTAATTTCACTATTCCAGACTAGGAATTTGAAGTTTTGCTACATAGTAGATATTAGCTGCAATGATGAAGGCATGTTTCCGAAATGGCCACTAGAGGTTATTGGAGTCGAAATCGAATCGAAGATGGACAACATATGGCAGAGTGGAATAATATTAAAATCATTGGGAAAGAAGATAACAACCAGAAGAGAAAAATTAAGGAATCTGCTTGCATTCTTCTAAACGGAGACAGTAGCATTGCTTCCTGTTCAGTTGATATAGATAGAACATGATATTCACTACTGAAATCTGAAAATGAAAATGGTAAATTCAAGATTGATTAATGAAAACATCCTGTAACTCATTTGATTGCCAACGTCACCAATTGTCACTGAGAACTGAAAAGTTTCAAGACAAATACGAATTTGCTATTCAAATAACCATTTTTTATGTTGAAAACGGGAGCAGATTCGTTCTCGAAACGTCCAAAGCTGAGTTTTATATTTTTTCTATATACCTACCTTCATTTCTCTTCTCCAAACCTTTTTCAATACAAATTGTCACTGACAAGCTAGTGAATTTTTCTTTCAGGCTCTCTGATAGGAAAATTCTTCAAACGCAGTGACATTTTGGGGCAAATCATCTGATTTGTACTTACTACACGTCTTATATTGAAATAATATTCAGATTTTTATTTTATAGAAACGAGGAGAGAAAATCCCAACAAATCTGGAATAATGAAACATCTGGGTTTTGAAACATGGAACTAGAAACTAGGAACAGAAATAGTGAGGAAAGTTTTATTAAAATCATTTTTGAACTTAAAATAAGCCTTCAAGAACAACAACACGTCTAGGGTCAAGTCGTTTAAAGAAAAAAATAATGAAGCAAATTGCATTTCCATAATTCAAAAAAATCCAAGTTTTCGTGATCGCGAATTTTTAATCCCGGATTTTTCAGTGATTTTGGGATCCCGTACCTACAACAGTGCTGATATCCATCGTTCATAAAAAAAATCGACATCATCAGCGACTTAACTTGTCTGATTCGTGAAAAGCCCCCCCACAGACCCGCCGCTGACAAGTGTAACAGAGTCGCAGTCCGCCGTGATTTACGGCATCGGATGTCACCGGCTCTCCCGCGACCCGCTGACCCCGCTACGCCCCCCGCCACCACCCCCCCATCACGACCGGACACGTTGATTTATCGCACGAGCGAACAAAGCCCCATACCCATACCGTTCGGCTCATAGCGCACACGCCAGTGCCGTGCCTAGTAAGAAGGCGCTGTACAGACATAGTGCAAGAAACTCGTTTTTTTTTTCGTCTAGGCAAGTAGACTATTTTTCTTAATTTCTTGCATAGATTCATCACCCAAATACCTTTCAATTTCCTATTTTTCTAGAATTTTTTGTTCGACTTTAACACATTGCGTGTCATGTCTCTCATATATGAGCGACATTGAACTTTTCCAGGGTGCTTCGTCTCTCATATGTGAGAGACAGATATTATACTCTATCAGTGCGTGTCTCTCACAAATGCATCACGCTGCCGTGAGCAAAATGGAAAACATAAAGACTTTGTAGTACAGAAAGTGAAAACTATTATATTTCTGTACAAAGTGTGGTTAAGAATCAAACTGAAAATTGAACTAATATATCTCATTGAAACATGTGGCCTCTGGAGAAAACCGTATGAATCTTGGTTTGAGCAAAATCGAGAATATGAAGACTTTGTAGTACAAAAAGTTTAAATATTATATTTCCGTACAAAATGAGGTAAAAATCAAACTAAAAATTCAACTAATATATCTCATTGAAACCTGTAAAAAAAATTTGTGGATGATACGATGAAGTGGATGCTTTTGCCGTTTCAGTCCTTTGTGGTTTGTCCGAATTCTTCAAATCAAGTAGGTCTGCGGCTGATATATCTTGAAATGCTCGAGATTTTTTTCTTGGTGGCCTGCTTATAGAGCTCCCAGGAAACAAAAGAGAAAATACCGGGGAAACCTTCGCTCATATTTGAATCACGTAGCCTCCAGCAATAAATTCGACTTTTTTTTCTGCTACAGGGCCACGCGAGGGGCCACGTCTCTCATATATGAGTGACACAACGAAACCAAAAAAATATAACCAAAAACTACAAAAAAACACGTAGGTATCAAATAAACCTCCATTTCAACATAAAATACTCACAAATAATAGAAAACTGTGGTTTGGCCCCATTATAGTTATTGATATGTGACTGTATCGAGCAACCAGTTTGTTAAAATATTTCTTACACTCCATAACAATACATCATGTGAATGTTGGCTAGGTTAAAGACTTGGCAATGCTGTGCTAAACGCTGAGAACTGACAAGACATCGCCCACAATCATGTGTTGTCACGTTTACCGGACCATATATCCTCAAGTGTGAATCAAAAAAGGTAATTATTATCAACTAAAATCCATCATAGACAATGGATTCTTTATAACTGCAATGATTCGGCTCATATTATGATGGGGCCCAAACGATATATGAACAAATCTAAGATAATTATAATGATGTTGTCCAAGAAAATGTTTCATTTCTGACCCTTTCGGAAGATAAAATCAGTACGTCCATGCTTTAGCGATTTCGATTTTTATCTTTTCTCTGTAATATATGACGGAGATATCGCGAATTTCGATTTACAATAACTCAAAATTAACCTAATTTCTGGTTCTAACACGTAATTAGTAGATCATACAAAGATCATACATTTGGTTCAAAGATTCCTTCTCCCCGTTTATACTCCACAGCAACTACGAGGGCGTAAAAAGGCCATTGCTGAGTGAATTTAATTTTATCTGTGAATTCAGACTTTATTCTCTGAATTTTGACATTTTTTGTTCTTTGAATTCAGACATTTTTCTGTGAATTCAAACTTTTTTCCTTTGAATTCAGACTCCTTGTATATGTATGTGTACACAAGATATTTCAAAAATTTACTGCAGGAAATCATGAGAGCGTATTCCTTGCAGGAGAAAAATAATGGTTCTTACTGCAACACTACATTGAGAACATTCTTATAACTCACTTTTTATATATAATCAACCCATCGTCAACACACGGGAACATCAGTATAGAGAAATATCCCTGCAGTCGACAAATAATAACCATCTGAAATTATAAAAGAAGTTTTGATATAACATACATCCCTGTATAGGAAACGGAACGTTTTTCTTCTTATTTTATGCATGCGCTCGTGAGTTTCTGCCCTGTACTTTTGGAACGCCTTGTTTACATATCGAAGAAAAGTCCTAATTCAGGAAAGAGAGTCTGAATTACTAAAGAAAAGACTGGTTCCAGAAGAAATAGTCCGAATTCAGTGAAAATAGTCTCAATTCAGAGAAAAAAGTCTGAAATCAGAGAAAGGCAGAATTCAGAGAAAAAATTCTGAATTCAGAGAAAGAAGTCTGAATTCAAAAAGAAATTTATAAATTTAGAGAACAAAGTCTGAATTCAGTGAACAAAGTATGAATTCAGAGAAAAATGGCTGAATTCAAAGAAAAGAGTCTTAATTCGAAGAAAAAAGTTTGAATTCAGAGAAAAAAGTCTGAATTTAGAGAAAAAAGTCTGAATTCAAAGAAAATAGTCTTAATTGAGAAAAAAAAAGTCTGAATATTCAGAGAAATAAGTCTGAATTCAGAGAAAATAGTCTCAATTGAGAGAAAAAAATCTGAATTCAGAGAAAAAAGTCTGAATTTAGAGAAAAAGTCTGTATTCAAAGAAAAAAAGTCTGAATTCAGAGAAAAAAGTTTGAATTTAGAGAAAAAAGTCTGAATTCAAAGAAAAAAGTCTGAATTCAGAGAAAAAAGTCTGAATTTAGAGAAAAAAGTCTGTGATCAAGGAAAAAAGTCTGAATTCAGAGAAAAAAAGTTTGAATTTAGAGAAAAAAGTCTGTGATCAAGGAAAAAAGTCTGAATTCAGAGAAAAAAAGTTTGAATTTAGAGAAAAAAGTCTGTGATCAAGGAAAAAAGTCTGAATTCAGAGAAAAAAAGTTTGAATTTAGAGAAAAAAGTCTGTGATCAAGGAAAACAGTCTGAATTCAGAGAAAAAAAGTTTGAATTTAGAGAAAAAAGTCTGTGATCAAGGAAAAGTCTGAATTCAGAGAAAAAAAGTTTGAATTTAGAGAAAAAAGTCTATGATCAAGGAAAAAAGTCTGAATTCAGAGAAAAAAGTTTGAATTTAGAGAAAAAAGTCTGTGATCAAGGAAAAAAGTCTGAATTCAAAGAAAAAAAGTTTGAATTTAGAGAAAAAAGTCTGTGATCAAGGAAAAAAGTCTGAATTCAGAGAAAAAAAGTTTGAATTTAGAGAAAAAAGTCTAAATTCAAAGAAAAAAAGTCTGAATTCAGAAAAAAGTCTGAATTTAAAGAATATAGTCTTGATTGAGGAAAAAAGTATGAATTCAGAGAAAAAAGTCTGAATTCAAAGAAAAAAGTCTGAATTCAGAGAAAAAAGTCTGAATTTGCAGAAAAAAGTCTGAATTCAGAGAAAAAAGTTTGAATTCTGAGAAAAATGGCAAAATTCAGAGAAATTGATATCAGAGAAAAAATCTGAATTCTGAGCAAAAAGTCTGAATTCAGAGAAAAAGTCTGAGTTGAGATGAAAAAGTTCGAGTTCAGACGAAAAAAAATTGATTCAAAGAAAGAGCTAGAGTCTGAATTCAGAGAAAAAAGTCTTTATTCAAAGAAAAAAATTCTGAATTTCAAGAAAAAAGTCTGGATTCAAAGCAAAAAGTCAAAATTCAGAGAAAAAGAGTCTGAATTCAAAGCAAAAAGTCTAAATTCACAGAATAAAAAGTCAGAATTCAGAGAAAAAAGTCCAAATTCACGAAAAAAAAACGGAATTCAACGAAAAAAAGTCTGAATTCAAAGAACACAGTCTGAATTGAAAAAAAAAAGAGTCTGAAATCAGAGATGGAATAAAATACACACACCAATGGACCTTCAACGCTTCCGTGGACCACAGATACGCGATCTCCGAGATGAGATGAGCCATACTCACTTGGCGTCGATGTGGATGTACCGCATGTCCATCGAGTGGATGGATGTGAACACGTTAGTGGCGCCCTGCACGACGCACTCCCTCGTCTCTGGCATGGCCACCGGGGTGCACGTGGCCAGGAAGACTGGCTCGTTGCGGCTGCACAGCGGCAGGAACGACAGGTAACGGCCTTGCACCAATACAACCTGGAAACAAAGTAATAATGAAACAATTGGTGAGTATCCCAGACGGCACAATCATATTCCATGAATTTCCTGCTGTGGATACTGCGTTGGAATATTGGCATGTGCCAGAAGATATTATATACATATTCCAAGAATATTCACCATGAATAGAATAGAAGTTTATTGACTATTTTATGTACATACAAAGCACATTTATAGCAGGTCAAAAACATTTATACATGTAAATTTGTAAATAAACAGACAATTTTTATTAAGATACATACTCATAAAATCACTGTGTGAACTGTGTGATGATCATTATTTGTTTTGTTTTTTAGAAATCGGCACTCAGATATTCCTCAACGGAGTAGAAACTGTTGCTAACTAAAATGTGTTTTATGGTTTTTTTAAATAGCTCAAATTTCATTTGTTTGATATTATCTGGCATCTTATTGAAAAGTTGAAGATTGCGAGAGTTCCGTGCAGATACTTCTAGACGGTATCGGGGATTTAATAGAAGATTATTATTTCTTGTATTGTACTGGTGTATGTCATTGTGAGCAGTATAAGTTCTCAAGTGTTTATGAATCTCAAGGAGACTCTGATATATGAAGACTGATGGTAAGGTCATTATTCCCAGATTAGCAAATATAGATTTACATGAGTCTCTAGGTCCTGCACCTGTAATAACTCTCACTGCCTTTTTCTGCATTATAAAAACACGGGAGACCTGATAGGAATTTCCCCATAATAAGGTTCCATAGCTAATATGCGAGTGAAATAATGCAAAATATGATACTCTCAGTACGTCGGGGCTCACAGATTGTTTCAATTTTCGCAGTAAAAAAATTTGGCTTGATAATTTACTACATAGACTGTCGATGTGAGACGACCAGTTTAGTTTATCATCTAGAGTAATACCAAGCAATTTAGCAGTATTTCCTCGTGAAATGTTATTATTACAAGAGAATAACAGTTTTTGAGACTTGCTTCCATTTTGCTTGAGCAAATTACTAACTAGCCACTCATCAATTTTCGTAAGTGCTGTATTATCTTTGATTTCAATGTTCGCCAAACTTTTGTCTGAATGATAAAATGTTGCATCATCAGCAAATAATATACACTTCGATGGACTCATGTTCACAAAAATATCGTTCACGTATATTATGAATAAAAGAGGCCCAAGTACCGAGCCTTGTGGAACTCCAAAATTATTCTGTTGAGACCTAGATATACCGTCATTGAAGAACACCCTTTGATTTCGCTCGCGTAAATAGGAGTCGAAGAAGTTTAGAGCTATTCCTCTAACACCATAATGTTCAAGCTTTTTCAATAGAATTTCATGCGAGACACAGTCGAAAGCCTTACTGAGATCACACAGGGTTGTGCTCGTGCATTCACCCAGCTCAAAGCCCTCGACTATGTCTTCTACCAGGCTAATTATAGTATGTATGGTTCTTCGTTTTTTCCTGAAACTGAACTGATTCTCATGCAGGAGATTATTAGTGTCGAAATATGATACAAGTCGTTTCTTCATAATAATTTCGAAAATTTTGCCGATTATAGGAATAATTGAAATAGGTCGATGATTTTCAGGTATGTCTATGTCTCCCTTTTTGTATATCGGAATCAGCTTGGTTTGCTTAAAAATACTTGGAAAAATGCCTTGAGTTAAACAAAGATTAAATAATTGGGTAAGAGGATGAACAATATGGTGTTTTATTTCCTTTATTATTTTACTATTCAGATTGTGAATATGCATGAAACAGATGTCAGGAATATCTGGTGTATCTTCCAAAAGATATTGGTGGTATGTGCTATCCTGAATTATTATGGTGCACTGAATATTTAGGTGTTTGTAAAAAGCAATCAAATTTTTGCTGGAACTACTGGAATTTAGGGTATTTAGCAAGATATTTTCTTCCGTGTATAACATTGATAAAACTGGCTCGAACTCGAGTATATAATTTGTATTCCATTGGAAAACTGGAAAACTGTTGTACTCAATTTAGAGCTCAGTGCAACAATTCTCACACGAGCTCTAATAGATCGTGCGAAGTCAGTGCGGTTTTAAAAATTACGGAATCATTTGAAAATGAATAGTTTGAAAGGCAAATTCTTGTGAATAGTGATGAATAAACACCACTCTGAAAAGTTCTATCAATATTTATAAACTCCCAGAAAGACGAATAATAATAATAATAAATTCAATGAGTTAAAACCAGGAACAAATAACCAACTCAAACGATTTAATCTCCAAGAATAGTTTTATCATCATATTATTTCGTATTCCATTGACCATTCCAGAACACGTCATTTTGACATGGTTTCTTGAGGGGCAAACGAACTATTTGTTAGGTTACCTTCGATGTGCATAGCCCTGGCCATCCTTGCGATATCCACAATATAATAACAGTTACACCGAACAAAATTATGAAATTTTTTCTGGTTCCAACTCGGATTCCAAGGAACGCACGATCCCACTAATTCTGGCTTCATTTGACAAATCTTGACAAAATACAATGTTTGCCCCTCAGCAACCTGTCAAAATGAACGTGATTCTGGAATGATTAATTGGGAATGCACTAGTTCACATTTTGGAGAAAACCAACTAGTGCACCACCAGGTTTACGAATGGAATTCCTAACTACGTAATAGAGTTGAAGTAATCACTGTACGTAGACCTCCACGTAGACGTTAACGTACGAAAAATAACGTTTACGTATTGTCGTTAAATTGAGCTGAAGTCGCCACTTTGGTCGTCATTGTCATCATAACGTAATAATACATTTTGTTTTCGGTTTGTATTGGTCATTTTTGGTTGTGTGTTTAGATTCGAACATTTATTCCTGTCAAAATTAGAGGACTCCTTGATGCAGAACTCGTTGGGGATCTCGAATTTGATAATTTTGACTCATCGGCATATTTCGAGTATAGTTTGGTTAACGTATGTTGACATTTGAGGTATACGTGAAGGTACGTGAGATAACGTACACCCGTAAGCCCACTAACAACGCAAACGTGAAGAATTGGAAAATGCGCATGATGCGTAGCTGTCAATTTCTACGTTTACGTTAACGTTCATGACAACACTTCAACTCTCTATTGCCAGTTGGTGACACATAATATTCACACAGATCACCCCGTAGACCATTACACACGTGAATATGTAAAGTAGGTGGAGGCGCAACCGTATGTTATGACGCCTACTGGCCGGCTCCGAGCGAGAGCGAGAGCGACAGTATTACCAGTACCCGGGATACGGGGTATGCTAAGAGCGCAGCTGAGAGGCGAGAGCCGGCCGGGCGACAACGTTTATGGAAATTGGCCGCTCTCATCGGAATACCAAAGCGCCACTGTTTATGCCTGCTGTCGCAGATAGTGAAAACGTTCAGGGAGACACGTTAACGGGCTATCGATTGATATCGGCTGGAAGTGAGTATACCACCTCCCGAACGAACGGATACAATCCTATATGAATGTGAGAAATTTCACTAGTCATTATATAATATAGTATTATATCACTATATACTGTTATTATCTAGTCATTATATACTGTATTATTATTAAATATATGAATTATGATTGAATACATCTACCATAACGTTAATACAATGAGAACATTCAGGAAACTAAAGAAATTTTACCGTAGAATTATTTCTTTCCTGAAACATTCCTATATCTTGACATGAGTGAGAAGAAATTTGCTACCTTTTTCAGTCGATAAATTATGAATAAAAAACTTCACTATCAAAATACAACGAAGAAACAAAGGATTATCTTTTTTTTCGCGTTCCTTCTTTTCTTCGCCAATCCTTTATTGTTCTTTTCCTCTGTTTTTTTAATACTCTCCATCATTTCAATTTTCTTCGCTCATCAAGATATGGTTTGATGTATTTTTTAAAGCCCCTTGAAAATTCAAACTCCAAACTAATTTTTTTTTTGAAATCTATTGTTCAAATTGTAACGATTGCGACTCTTCTATAATAGTTTTTTCTATTAATCTGCTTACACTTATATTCTTTTGAACAAAAGGATAATGCATGTTTTTCACCACCAAATTTGTTCATATTATAAGCTAAATACTGTCTGTAGGTTAATCAAGGAAAAGACACATCAATAAATCGAAACTAGCTGAACATATCCTTACTGAAGACGGACAACATATGGCAGAGTGGAATTATATTAGGATCATTGGAAAAGAAGATGACAACCAGAAGAGAAAAATCAAAGAATCTGCTTGCATTCTACTGAACGAAGACAATAGCATTGCTTCTTGTTCAGTTGATATAGACAGAACATGGTATTCATGAATTTTTTTTTCAGGCTCTCTGATAGGAAAATTCTTTAAACGCATTGACATTTCGGGGCAAATCATCTGATTTGTCCTTACTACACGTATATTGAGATAATATTCCTATTTTTATTTTATAGAAACGAGGAGAGAAAATCCCAAAAAATTTGGAATAATGAATATCATAAGCTCCTGGAGAACCTTCTCAGAGGCATCATCCCCATTATTGTTCATTCATTTTGAAATACCTAGCTGGTTACCAGCTTTGACTGTTTTGAGAAAGAAGAAATACACTGACCGAAAAATAGAAACGGCCACCAAAAAAGTTTACCAAATTAATCTGCTCTATAGGTTCTGAATTATATTGTTATTGATGAAAATAAAAAAACTCCATACTTTTTCAAAAGACTTTCATCTTTTCTTCGATGATGTGTGAAGAAGGGACAAAAGGGGACCATACTTTGATCCAAAACATGATTGTGCAGAAGGTTGGAGAATGATTCTGAAGTATTGTTGATAAAAAAATCCATACTTATTTAAAACATTTGTATCTTCTCTTATAGAAACAAGATGTTGACGTGAATGAGAAACCATTGTGATGAGAAGGGATCACACTAATAGTAACCTCTATAAAGTTAGCAAAGCCACTTGCATGAAAATCGATAAAAACTATGCCATTAATTGTCGAATGATTGTCGAGAATTTGTCGTGAAGAAAAAAAAATTGTCGCGCTCTTAGTTTTTTTTATATGGGGTGGCTCTGCTAACTTTATATTAAGTTAGCAGTGCCACTAGAATAAATCGACAACTGAAAATCAAATATCGCAACTGTTGTTATCAATAATTGTCGAGTAATTGTCGAAGTCCATCTAACACAAAAAAATGCGAAAAAAGTGTTTTTTTAACGCGTATATTTACATTTTTAGTGAAATTTCCTGGAATCCGTGGAAATTTCCAGTATTTGGCAACACCGCATTCTTATTTCGACCTCCTACATCATTTTCAGTGACATAATTGATAGATATCTATATATGTTTCATTTTCTCTCTTCTATAGATCAGATAAAAATCATTGTAAATGATGAATAAAAGAAGAAAAAAAGTCACCCATGTGAATTGTTGATTTCTATTTACATTTAGGAAATCCCATAACTTTTATAGGGTGGCAAAAACTATTTGTCGCTTGACCTGTTGGTACGAAAAATTGTCGAAGTCTATTTAACGTAAAAAAATCAACAAAAAATTGTTTATAGCTCTGTTATATTCATTGGACTTTCTGGAAACTGATGTGTAAAATCTTTAGTTCATTATTCTCCGCTTTGAAATTCATTGAGCAATTGTCGAATGACCTAAACATATTTGTCGTGAAGGAAAAAAAATTGTCGCGCTCTTAGTTTTTTTTTTTTATATGGGGTGGCTCTGCTAACTTTATATTAAGTTAGCAGTGCCACTAGAATAAATCGACAACTGAACATCAAATATCGCAACTGTTGTTATCAATAATTGTCGAGTAATTGTCGAAGTCCATCTAACATAAAATAAATCCAAAAAAGTATTTTTTAACGCGTATGTATACATTTTTAGTGACTTTTCCTGTTATCAGTGAAAACTGATGTGTAAAATCTTTAGTTTATTATTCTCCGCTCTGAAATTCATTGAGCAATTGTCGAATGACCTAAACATATTTGTCGTGAAGAAAAAAAAATTGTCGCGCTCTTAGTTTTTTTTATATGGGGTGGCTCTGCTAACTTTATATTAAGTTAGCAGTGCCACTAGAATAAATCGACAACTGAACATCAAATATCGCAACTGTTGTTATCAATAATTGTCGAGTAATTGTCGAAGTCCATCTAACACAAAAAAATGCGAAAAAAGTGTTTTTTTAACGCGTATATTTACATTTTTAGTGAAATTTCCTGGAATCCGTGGAAATTTCCAGTATTTAGCAACACCGCATTCTTATTTTGACCTCCTACATCATTTTCAGTGACATAATTGATAGATATCTATATGTTTCGTTTTCTCTCTTCTATAGATCAGATAAAAATCATTGTAAATGATGAATAAAAGAAGAAAAAAAGTCACCCATGTAAATTGTTGATTTCTATTTACATTTAGGAAATCCCATAACTTTTATAGGGTGGCAAAAACTATTTGTCGCTTGACCTGTTGGTACGAAAAATTGTCGACTCATTGTCGAAGTCTATTTAACGTAAAAAAATCAACAAAAAATTGTTTATAGCTCTGTTATATTCATTGGACTTTCTGGAAACTGATGTGTAAAATCTTTAATTTGATTTTCTCCGCTCTGAAATTCATCAAACAATTGTCGAATAACCTAAACATATTTGTCGTGAAGAAAAAAAAAATTGTCGCGCTCCTAGTTTTTTTTTTATATGGGGTGGCTCTGCTAACTTTATATTAAGTTAGCAGTGCCACTAGAATAAATCGACAACTGAACATCAAAAATATAGCAACTATTGTTATCAATAATTGTCGAGTAAATGTTGAAGTTCATCTAACATAAAAAAAGTATTTTTTAACGCGTACATTCTCAGTGAAATTTCTTGGAATCCGTGGAAATTTCCATTATTTGGTACCACCGCATTCATATTTCGACCTCTTACATTATTTTCAGTGACATAATAATTGATATCGTCCATAATCACATAGCCCATCCGCCATATTGGAGCGGCCATCTGGAATTTCTCGATTTTGAAGGAAGAATCATAATCTCCGACCTCGAAAACCTCAGAAACCAATTCTGAATAGAATCGGATCATAATTACAGAACTCGTTCGCCATATTGGAGCCGCCATCTTGAATTTTTCAATTTTGACAGAAGAACCATCATCTCTGACCCCGAAAATATCCAGATACCAAATTTCAATAGAATCGGATCATAGTTACGAAACTCGTCTTCCATATTGGAGCCGCCATCTTGAATGTTTCAATTTCGACAGAAGAACCATCATCTTTGACCTCAAAAACCCCTAGAAACCAATTTTGAATAGAATCGGCTTATAATTACAAACCTCGACCGCCATATTGGAGCCGCCATTCTGTTTTTTTCTCTAACAAAAATGCCATAATGCATTGTCACCGGAATTATGTACACCTGCCAAATTACAAATCAATCGGACGATTAGATGTGGTCTAAAAATTGGTTACAAGATTTGACTGACATTTTTTTATCACCAACAACAGATTGAATATAAGCGTGTTAAAAAACATTTCAAATTTGTATAGTCATATTGGATCATCTTGAGATAACCTGGATAATAAGAGTCCTCCAGGAAATCATTTTATTTGTTATGAAAGAAACATTGCCGAACATGGCCGAACTGAATACCTTTTAATAATTTAGCTTTTCCCTATGAACTATCTGGATCGTAGGTATATCAACATTATCAAATCCACTCCAAACTAAGTTTACCCGATGCGTTAACTTATTCGCTGGACAGACTGTAGACATCACTTGACCACGTGACAACACGGGGCACGTGATATTCCCAAAGGCGCCAAAGCGGGAATATCACTAATATTAGTAGATCACAGGTCAGTCATCATAGTATTGTCTTACTGTGGTGTACTTATTAGGGTGCGTTTTGTTCAGTCGAATGCAATTCAATTCAGATTCTCGTGGTGTTAGTTATTATTTCAGTGAAAGACTCTTGGTGATTCTCGTTAATTCAATAATGGAAAAACTTGTTCCTGGAAAAAGGCCCTTAGTTCCTCGCAACATTTTGGTGGAGACTATTCTTAAACATAAACATGAACTTGTTTTCAACAACGAGATTGCGCGGGCAACAGCGGCTGTTTGGAAAGTGATTGAAGCTGGTTTAGACAATAAAATTAAGGCGACATCTCTTCACTCGATGTGTGTGGGTAATCGGTATCATTTGAAAAGTTTGCTCACAGACACAGCAACGCTGGATGCTGATCAGGAATATGAGGTATCCCTAAACGAGTGTGAATCGTCTGAATCGAATCGAAATTCCATGAGAAATTCCCTCGGAAATTCCTTCAACTTCATTCTCTCTATCAAGACATCCAAATTCGAAAGTCTCTTGACTGAAAGAGTATATGCGAGGAAAACCATGAAAGGAAAGATAGGAGAACGTCGAATTACAATATTTCAACCAAGTAAATGGACTGAAATAGTATCTAAAAAAATTTATGATGATTACCGACTCAATCATGGATATCATTTTAAAAACCATTATTTGACCAGGCAGGCAGACTATGGTGTTTTCAAAGGTGAGTTCATTAGAAGCTTGCCAGGAAAAAATAACGATACATCAATAAAAAATATAATTTATCGATATTGCTGATTAACGTACATAATTCCAGTGACATTCCATTATGAAATTTTTATTAGAGGTAAAAACAAAATGGCGGATTCAAAATGGCGGATAAGTTTTGTAATTATGATCCGATTCTATTCAAAATTGATATCTGGGGGTTTTCGGGGTCGGAGATGATGATTCTTTTGTCAAAATTAGAAAATCAAAAATGGCGTACAAGTTTTGAGACGTTCTGAGATTATGGTCCGATTATATTCAAATTTGGTATGTAGGGGTTTCGGGGTCGGGAATCATGAATTCATTGTCAACATTTACAAATTCAAGATGGTGTCTTCAAAATGGCGGAAGGTTTTGAGAGATTGAAAAATTTAGAAAATCCTTGATTTAATAGACTATAAAGTAGAAAATAAAATATAAAAAAAATGATAAAACCACGGCTGAAGGACTTCGGTCGATTGCCATTTGGTAAATTTTACCAATAAAGGACTTTTATTATTATTATTAAAACCACTCTTATATTTTTAAATGCACTAAAAAAGAAAAATATTATTTCTGCAATCGACTCAAAAGTCATCCATTTTTGTTCAAAAATCAGCTCTAGAAGTTGACGTTTACTAACACAAAAATAGGAATGTTCCTAGGCAACACTATGTTGCTAGACAACACTTTTAGTTCCTAGGAGCTAAAGTTGAACTATCAACTCCTACTCATGATATTATTATAATAATCTGTCAAGTGAGTCACATTGGCGGTTACTTCATTTATATTTATTTTAGTTAGGTGTTTATTCTTTCGGTTGCAGAAAAAATAGCATGTTTGATCCTAATAAAACAATCTACTATTTTTTTCCTGATGATGATCCAAAAATGAAGAGTATGACTAAAAGCGTGGAGCGCTTTCATCATCGCGGAATATATGATTTTCTGGTGCTCTTTTTGATAATATAATATTTTTTACATCCCATGCGTTTTTGGAGGGATTTCTCATAGCATATTTTTCAGATATTCAGGGTGGTGCGGAATACAGAATTCTGAACCACCTTGTATTTGTTTCAATTAAATACCAGTAGATAGTGATTCAAAAGTTAAGATAGGGACATGTAAGCCGTTTTAACCAATAATTAATAGTTTCAACAGAAAAAAATCGTGAAGCTGAAAAATCTCGATTTTCAACACACTATATCTCTGTTATCATTCCCGCTAGACCGATAAACTATAAGGTACCGTTGAATAGAGAATTGGCCGTCCTTCAAAATGATGTGCCACTTGACCCCCCTTCCCATTTAAGATTCTGAGGGTAACACCTACCCCTCCTAGGGGGTTGAACCATTGGGGTTGAAAATATCCATTCAACGTGTCCCCCTCAAAATAAAATTGACCTGTCTTTTTAATTTTTCATATTATTCACTGGAAGGGAGATATTGAGGGTGGGAAGTTTTAGAAATGTCACCCTGTATATCTAAATAATTAGACAAAATCATTACCATTCTTAGGTTTATGCAAATGTGGAAGTACGGTCATTTGCAAGGTACTACCCCCATCAGATGTTGATAAAGCTATTCGCAAAATAGAATGTTCGATTTCTGAAGGCAAAGGAAAATGTGGAAAACGCCAACTACGAGGGAATCTCAGAAAAAAAATAGCGAAAGACCTGCAAACCGAATCAACGGTTAAATGGAGACACAGAGTAGCCAGTGAAATGATGGATAAGGGGATTTCTGTGGAGCCACCGCATTTGTATAATGCAGATGTTTTGAGGGTTGCAAAACATGAATGCATTCGAATGCAGTATCTGGACCAAGACCCAATCAAGGCCATTGCAATTTTGAAAAAAAGTTCTGTTGGACAGAACGTGATACGTGACATCGGGTATGACCCATTCCATGTCACGATTGCATCGGCACACCAAATTCGTGTATTCAACAAAATGAATAGAATATGCGAAACAAACTTGAGTATCGATGCAACTGGTGGGGTTGCGAAGAAAATTGTTCATGTTGATGGACGTGTTTCAAAACACATTTTTTTATATAATGCAGTGGCATACTGTAGAAATCAACAATTTTCTGTAACATCACAATTCTCAGAGTCACATGACATGGCATCCATAAGTAAATGGTTATTGGGAACAATAAGATGTGGAATGGAATTTCCTCGACAAGTGGTAAGGAAGAAATAATTAGAAATACGTGTGTCCAAGATAAGGCAACATGGGTGTATCTCGGTAACCATAAAAGTCAAATGGACAAAAAGTGGCGCATTTAAGGGGTTTATGAAAATATGTTGAAAAATCCCAAAATTGTTGTTTACTTCCGGAACTATTCGAAAAAAAAAAAATTGGCGATTTGGTTTTTATTTTTTTCTGAAGTTATTTGAAAAGTTTTGAAGAAATCAAAGACACTTTCTCCACTTTTTTAGCTCTACAGAATGGCGTTCACAAAATCTCCATTTAACGTTTCGTTTCGAAGAAACCATCAACTTTTTTTATATAGTATATGACACGATATAAAGTACACCATGTATGACATACCATTTTTTATTGTTAACGATTAGACGTTCGGCGCAATTTGTTTTCTTATGTTCATTTAGAAAAAATATTTAATTGCACAACTTCTTTCCTATAAGGCCTATTTTTAACCTACTGTGTAACTATTACGGAAACCAAGATTCATGAAGTTCATCCTTATCTTCGGCACACTGGTATATGAAAAATTCATATAAATTTTTTTTACAGACTATCGACGAATCGAAAGCACTTGAAAACGCATGTGCTTTGATATTCTCAGGGGATTTCAATATAACAAAATATGCAAACAGGTGTTTCAATACTGGTAAAACAGATTTTCCCAAAACATACATAAGAACTGACGTGGCACATTACATCAAGAGTTGGGTAAATTTCTTCAGTAAAGAAAGTAAAGAAAAATGGAAAAAAAAATTCTACTTGTGTGCTATTGGCCAATTGATTCTTTGTCGTGACAGAGATTCTGCCAAGTGCTTAATTACTGCACTATTGACAGTTTCCCTTTCTGAAAAAGCGGGTGTAGGTGCAACCTCTTTAAATGAATCTCTCCATACAATTAAGTCCCTTGTTCTTGGCAACACTTGTCAAGAAGAAGAAGTTGAGGAAATAATAAGCAAGACAATTGAAGATTCTGAAAAAGACATCGAAGAGGCAACAGAAGAGGGAGAAGATGAAGACGAACCTCAAATGTCAAATTTGGTCGCGAATCAATGGCAGCAGTGGGGCAATGATGTTAGGAATGAGGTTGAAAGAAAATTAGAGTACGAAAATGGAGATGATTATAATCCCAGATATTTTCCCGCCTTTGCCGAACGTCTCATGAAAAAAATGGCAACAATTCCTCTTTGGAGTTGCATTTGCCGAGATGATTTTGGTTATGGGCGAATTCCTGCCAGTAGTGCTCCTGTAGAGGCAGAATTCAATATTATTAAAAATCGAATTCTCTGCAAGCGGATATTACGTGTAGATGTCGCAGTAAGAACATTTTTGGAATACATTGATGGGAAATTGAAAATATTCGAAGCTAAATCAAATCCTACGAACGAAAATATCAATATTGAAATAAAATCAACTATGGAGTCACCTCGGCGACCAAAGAAAATAGATGTTTCAGATGACGCCACACCAAGTAATTTCGAAATTGAAAAAGAATTTTCTTTAGATTTCCCAGTTGTTTCTCTTAATAGCACAACTGCTTATGAGATTGCACAAAAATTCAATAGTAGCAGATCCAGAGATATTTTCAAAGATGAACTTTCTCCAATCAGTTCTACAAAAAATGATACGCATTGTCCAAGTGGAAGCATTGAAAAAGAAAATTTTTCTGGTTCCAAATGCGAATCTTACGTACCAGAAGAATCGATTCGGAGAAGGAAACCACTTCAAGATTTGTCCTCAGAAATGAATCAAGAATTCGTTTGCGAATATTGTGAAAAAAAATCGAATAATGAACAAGTTTGTGTAATTTGTAAACGCATAATGTGTTCCGAATGCACGGTATCTCAAACAGAAGAGGAAGGTGAAATGAAACTATGCCTCGAATGCTTCCAAAATTCGAGAAAAGACGACCGCCTTGCAACTCAAAAAATTGATAATTGGAAAGGAAAGGGCGGATCGCCGAAAATTTCCAAAAAATCCCGATATCTGAATAAAAACACAGCAGAGTTCCTAGACGCAATGTCTTTCAAAAAATACTGTAAATTACCATGTCTAAAAAATGGAACAATTTCATCTTTACGCCTAATCAAAATTGGAAATTCAGAAGTGTCACTCACAAACACCTGTGCGTTTGACAGCATCACCCAAATATTAATGGCGGCAATGAGTGACAATGACAATATAAAAAAATTCATGAATATCCATAGATATCAAAATAATTTTTTTGATCTTGTGTATGACACTGTGGAACATGGTATAAGTCAAAAGACTTATAAGAGAAGGGCTGAGATAATTTGTCACTTATTTGGAGAAGAAATAAAAGATAATACCACACATGAAATCAACTGCACAACAAGTGCGAGCTCTCTAGCTGCCAAAATATTTAAAACTCATCCAAGTTTTATAGAAATTCGTCAATGTGAAGATGGGTGTTATCGAAAAATCGAGTACGCAACATATGGTTGGCATGCGAGATTACTGAAAGAAAATTTACAGACCTTCATAGAAACTATCGCAACAAAGGAAAAAAGATGTAAAAACAATTGCGAAACATATCAATCAGTTTCATTGGAAATGGGTAAGTTCATATTTTTTATTCAACTTTGAGATGACATTCGAATATGAAGAATATCAAAGGGAGAAGGGAAAGCTTACAGTCGGATTGTCAAGTCAACATGCTTGTTCAGAATCAAATTCCGGAGCAAATTCCTATATTATTGTCTTTCGCAAAAATGTGTTTTGTATAAACATTTTTTCTTCCATTTTTGTTATAGTTCCACTAAATTAAATATAAGATTTTCACACCTTTAAAAGGTCTTCTTGTAACCAAACACTGATGATGAAAGATCTTCTGGCAGTGTCTGAACTAAAGAAATTGTTTGGAAAATTGTATACATTCAAATTTTCATTGACCGATATTGACGTGAAAAAAAAATACAAAGAATATTTTATGTTCCAGGAGACATCGTATTGTTCGAAGTATATGGGCAGGAGGATAAAATACCCATAGACTCAATAAGCAATTCGTTCATCAATAAATCAAATGAAACCTACCATCTCATGGGTGTCATTCATTATGTTGGCCCGAAAATGCTTACACGAACTCCAATTCCAGGCCATTATATTGCTTACTGCAAAAGGGGAACGTGCTGGATGGTATACGATGACCTGAAGGAAAAAGCAGAAAGATCTTCACAAAATTTGAAAGTGTATCCTGAAATATTGGTCTATTGTAAAATATAAAGTAAAATGAAAATCGAAGTCGTATTCAGTTATAAAATGTTGATTTTATAAAAATGTAAAATAGCTGCATCACCAAAGACTATTAGCAACTCAACAGTCATTTTATATTTCGAAAATTGAGAGATGATAAATAAATTCAAAACTGTTAAGATGATCACATGCAATATATTATTTAGGCCCATTCCATCAGAAAATTCATTACTGCGCGATTTTGAAACAATTATAGTTTTCCATTGCGAAAGCTTATTACTTTAGAATATTCAGGAAATGAATGACCAACCTGATCAGATCAGATCGATGATCAGATATTGAATGGATTCGACTTTATTTACTTGATGAAAATTCATAATGAAATGAGGAAAGACTCACCTGAGTGTAAATTTTCACAAAAACATAACACACACGACAATTGTTTCGCTGAACATCAGCTTCTTCAAAGTGCAACGTGCACTCTGCACGCAGGAGTAGATTTTAAGGGTTAATTTAAGGGTTTACGCATAGGTGATTGCTGAGAATATTGATTCCTTCACGACAGATATGTTTAGGTCATTTGACAATTGTTTGATGAATTTCAGAGCGGAGAATAACGAACTAAAGATTTTACACATCAAATTCCACGGATTCCAGGAAATTTCACTAAAAATGTATATATACGCGTTAAAAAATACTTTTTTTGCATTTTTTTGTGTTAATTACTCAACAATTACTCAACAATTATTGATAACAACAGTTGCGATATTTGATGTTCAGTTGTCGATTTATTCTAGTGGCACTGCTAACTTAATATAAAGTTAGCAGAGCCACCCCATATAAAAAAAACTAGGAGCGCGACAATTTTTTTTTCTTCACGACAAATATGTTTAGGTCATTCGACAATTGTTTGATGAATTTCAGAGCGGAGAATAATAAATTAAAGATTTTACACATCAAATTCCACGGATTCCAGGAAATTTCACTAAAAATGTATACATACGCGTTAAAAAATACTTTTTTCGCATTTTTTTGTGTTAGATGGACTTCGACAATTACTCGACAATTATTGATAACAACAGTTGCGATATTTGATGTTCAGTTGTCGATTTATTCTAGTGACACTGCTAACTTAATATAAAGTTAGCAGAGCCACCCCATATAAAAAAAAAACTAAGAGCGCGACAATTTTTTTTTCTTCACGACAAATATGTTTAGGTCATTCGACAATTGCTCAATGAATTTCAAAGCGGAGAATAATAAACTAAAGATTTTACACATCAGTTTTCACTGATAACAGGAAGTCACTAAAAATGTATACATACGCTTTAAAAAATACTTTTTTTGCATTTATTTTATGTTAGATGGACTTCGACAATTACTCGACAATTATTGATAACAACAGTTGCGATATTTGATGTTCAGTTGTCGATTTATTCTAGTGGCACTGCTAACTTAATATAAAGTTAGCAGAGCCACCCCATATAAAAAAAACTAAGAGCGCGACAATTTTTTTTTCTTCACGACAAATATGTTTAGGTCATTCGACAATTGCTCAATGAATTTCAGAGCGGAGAATAATAAACTAAAGATTTTACACATCAGTTTTCACTGATAACAGGAAAAGTCACTAAAAATGTATACATACGCGTTAAAAAATACTTTTTTGCATTTATTTTATGTTAGATGGACTTCGACAATTACTCGACAATTATTGATAACAACAGTTGCGATATTTGATGTTCAGTTGTCGATTTATTCTAGTGGCACTGCTAACTTAATATAAAGTTAGCAGAGCCACCCCATATAAAAAAAACTAAGAGCGCGACAATTTTTTTTCCTTCACGACAAATATGTTTAGGTCATTCGACAATTGCTCAATGAATTTCAAAGCGGAGAATAATGAACTAAAGATTTTACACATCAGTTTCCAGAAAGTCCAATGAATATAACAGAGCTATAAACAATTTTTTGTTGATTTTTTTACGTTAAATAGACTTCGACAATGAGTCGACAATGAGTCGACAATTTTTCGTACCAACAGGTCAAGCGACAAATAGTTTTTGCCACCCTATAAAAGTTATGGGATTTCCTAAATGTAAATAGAAATCAACAATTCACATGGGTGACTTTTTTTCTTCTTTTATTCATCATTTACAATGATTTTTATCTGATCTATAGAAGAGAGAAAATGAAACATATATAGATATCTATCAATTATGTCACTGAAAATGATGTAGGAGGTCGAAATAAGAATGCGGTGTTGCCAAATACTGGAAATTTCCACGGATTCCAGGAAATTTCACTAAAAATGTAAATATACGCGTTAAAAAAACACTTTTTTCGCATTTTTTTGTGTTAGATGGACTTCGACAATTACTCGACAATTATTGATAACAACAGTTGCGATATTTGATTTTCAGTTGTCGATTTATTCTAGTGGCACTGCTAACTTAATATAAAGTTAGCAGAGCCACCCCATATAAAAAAAACTAAGAGCGCGACAATTTTTTTTTCTTCACGACAAATTCTCGACAATCATTCGACAATTAATGGCATAGTTTTTATCGATTTTCATGCAAGTGGCTTTGCTAACTTTATAGAGGTCTAATAGTAACCCTTTACTGGGAAAAATAGTCGGTAGTAAATACCAAACGTTTAGTAGAATAGGCGCCAGTCACTTCATTCAACTGATAATACCACCACTGAATTGAATAATACTATACCGTATCAAATATTACCACTATAGAATGGTATGATGATAGTAAAGTTCGATACATTTTTTCGTGGTATTATTCGATGAATGTTGTGACTGGCACCTATTTTACTAAACGTTTGGTATTCACTACCGACTATTTCTCTTAGTGTTGCCATCACAGCTTGTAGAGAATTTAAGGTTGAAAGAGTACCTTTGGTTTTTTCCTGTATTTGTTGGTCAAGCCATAAGTTTTTTTATGGAATCAAAATCTAGACCAACATTCTGAAACATGAATCAAGATTTGGACGAAATTTCACCAGAATCGGACAAGAATTGAAAAAGTTACAGGGCGATCAATTTACCTAAATTTTTTGCTGGCCTGTTTTTTCTGCCGGTGAGTGTATATATATTTACCATAAACATGAGATCCGGAAACGCTTATTTTTGGCATCAACCATCTTGAAAAAATATAATTCTCCATCAATATGTGATATTTCAACAATTCTCTACTACAGTTTATGCAGAAACCTGAAATTCATTCTCACTTGATGAATGAATAGTGATGAGGGTTTCCCGTCTAACTGAGCGTTGAAGTCTCTGAGCTCTTAATTGATTTAAAACATGTTTATAGTAAATATACCTTTCCTATACGGCATTAACCTCTTAACAGAAGTACTTATGAAAGAAAAAAGCTAACATTGCGACCGAATATGCCTCAATGAAATGTTACTGTGGAAAAAGATATAGGGCGTTCAAAAGTAAAATATTTTTTTCGTTTTTTGCTGATGATTTTACTGCATATTCATCAATTGTTATCGAAATCGGCACAGCTGCATAATTTTATACAAGGAATTTCATTTTATGTACAGTTTGTTACAGGGGGCACCACGTGAATGATTTCTGATGATTAAATCGACTGATAACTTTTTGTGACGAAACTTTCTAGTGATTATGAATATAAAATATGACATCAGATAAATCATCTCTACGTGATATTAGTATTCTCATCCGTTTTTGAGAAAAACGCAATTGAACAATTGAAAGTATCGGAAGGGGATTTCAAATATTATTTCGCTCATGAAGAGTGCGCTTTGGACCTCGCTTTGGACTGTCAGATAATTGTTGCTGGTTAATTACATTCCTTATCAGTGAATGAATTTTGGTGCGGGTTAATAGTCAATACTTTTCCGATTGAAACGCCCTGTACCTTTTTCCACAGCAATATTTTATCGGGGCATATTCGGTCCTATCGCCATATTTTGGTCGGCACAATCCGCCCTTAGGCTATTTCTCAATAGTTACGACTCACCCTGTATAAACATGTGTCCTGAAATGCACCCTCTTCGAGCTACAAAATAGTGTGGACCCCCTCTAACTCCTCCAATACTGGGCTAACATAATTTTTTAAGCAAAAAAGGAGAAAATTGCCTAAAAAACCAGGGGCATGCCAATTTTCAGACGATTTGAACCGTTATCCTGATCACAATATCAGATGTTCATATGAAGAAAAAGTCTTATGTTCATCCCAACAATACATCCCCAAAATATTTACATCGAATTTCGAATCACCCTGTATATCTTCGATAAAAGTTCGTGAAACCCTTTTGGAAATACCTTGTACCATAGAACATTAGGATTTGTCATTCATTGAGGAGCATCAACGAAAATATATAGAATATTACGATATCCAATATCACAACCATCCTATCACTGATCTATTTGATTTATCTTTTTATTTTAGCAGTATTCACTGACCTATTTCACAACGGTCCGTGGTTTACCTACTTTATAGCCAGCATTGATAAATGGTACTGGGTGGTCTATTTATGCATTCCTCGAGAACACGCTAACAAGATCATGGAACTAGGGCAAACACAATTTCTAGCAGACATTAAATCAGTTCATTTCCTGCTAATTTACATGAGAATGAATTCGATTTATCGCGCTGAAGTCGAAGGGTGTGAGGCTGAGTGTAAAACAGAAACACTTAATCAACACCAAGGTTCTCTTTTTATAATGGGAAGCTCTTGCTACGAATACATATTTGGAAATAACCGGAATAACATGTCACTCAAAGTCATCTACATTAGCACCAAAATAGGAACCACGTATATAGCAGAAGGAAATAAAAGGTGCCGAAGCTAAAACCCTTGATACTGAGGAGTACAAATACAGCATGCCTAACTTATAATTTTACATAGATATACAGTGGGATTTTTGGTTAATCGATTTGGAAAAAAGTGCCATTTTACGATGCTGAATATCATACAGGGTGTATCTAAATAATACCGAAAAAATTCAAAGGACGTTTCCTTGTGATATTCGAGACAAT